TTAGAAAGGAAGTGACTTGAGGCAGGAGAGCAGTGAGAGTCACCTAGTGAGGCAGGGAATAAGGATGAGGGAATTACCCAAAAGAGAAGGATTTAGAAGCTGAAAGCTCAAGATCTTGAGTTGGTTGTGGTAAGTGGGGAGAGGGTTGCCTGGGTCTTTGCCTAAAGGCCTGGGTAAGTTGGTAGAAACACCAGGACAGTTGGGGGAGAAAAGATGTGTTTGGTGTTAGACCAAAGATGCTGAGCTGATCTTAAACAAAAATGTCTTATTAATTTATTTTTACAAAAAACAGAGAATAGGAAAGCAAAACAGGTCCTGTCTGGGGGTAGGGATCAGTGTGTGTGGGAGGATATAAGGAGAGGGTGTAGGAGAGATAATATAGTGGAAATATTACACATGTATGTAAATGGAAAAATGAGACCTGTTGAAACTATGCCAGGGGGGAGGGGAATAAAGGAAAAAGATGGAGGGGGTGAATTCAACTGTGATATACTGTAAGGACTTTTATAAATGTCACATTACCACCAGTACAATTAAAAAAAAAAAAAAAAAAGAAGACACGATGAGCTGGAGGCACCTGTGGAACATCTAGGGAAAGACTGGGAACTAGGTTGGAAACATAGCATTTGAGCTCAGTTGAAGGTTTGCAGGACAAGGTGGCCCTGGGAGAGATTATGGACCTCTGGAGAACACCCAGGTTTAAGGGATGGGAAAAGGGAAGGAAGTAGTCAAGATTCACCACCTCCCCTAGTTCTGGGAGCCTGAAAACTGTGGAGCCTTGATTGGAGCCAATCCTTTTTCTCAGGGGCTTCACACAGGTCAGGACAAGCAAGAGAAGCCCACATTCCCCTAGGCAACCTGGAAGAAAACCCCAGAGCTCTCACCAAACAGGACTTCCTTATAGCAGAGTCCTGCAGCTTCAGCCACCATCTCTAGCTGTGAACATCTCACTAGGGACGTGGAATAGAACAGCTCCAACTGGAACAGCAGGAGTAAAGGCTCAGGATTAACCACAGGCTGCTCAGTGTGGGTAGAAGAGGCAAGGCAGGGAGTGGCTGCAGGTACTATGCCTTAGCTCCTCTTCTCTGTGCTTAGCTCCCTGTCCCTCAGATGATGGAGTGCCCAGGGCTTAGTTCTGGAACCACTTCCACCCTCCCAACATGATCTCACCAGCCTTTAAATACCATTATGTGCCACAGCTCCCCAAATTAGATGCCGAGCCCAGTCCTGTCTCCAGACAGGCTCCCATGTACAACCGCCTACTGGCCAGATTTTCATCCCCCAAGCCTGCTCCTCCCACACTCTTTCCTATCTCAGTAAATGGCAAATTCAATCTTCTAAACGCTCAGGCCCAAAAACTTTGACGTCATCCCTGACTCCTCTCTCCCTCTCACATCCTACATCCCAGCTGTCTGTAATCCTTTAGGTATTGTCTACAAAGTGTATCTGGAATCCAGCCACTTCTCACCACCCGAATTGTCATTGTGGTTCAAGTTACTGTTGTCTCTCTCTTGGATTGTAACAGTGGTCTTCTGACTGGTCTTCCAGTCTCTTCCCTTGCTTCTGTGCATCCTACAATCTAGTGTCAAAACAGAAGTGGGGGGGTGATCCTTTTTAAAAGTGAGATAATTTACTCGTTTACCCTAATATCTTCCAGTGGCCTACAAAACTGGACACCATCAAGCTCATATATATATATATATATATATATATATATATATATTTTTTTTTTTTAGGTAATTCTGGGGTTTGAACTCAGTTTCATGCTTGCTAGGCAGGCAGAGCCATGCTGCCAGTCCAAGTTTTCCTGTTACTGATTCCTGCTACTCTCCTCTAGAGCCCAAAGGCCTCACTCCTTGTTCCTTCATGGTACACAGCAGGTTTCCACTGTAGAGCCTTTGCAATGACTGATTCCTCTGGCTGGGGTAGTCTTCCTTCAGATTTCTGCATTACTTGTATTTTCCCCCTGTGCTTACACTCTGTATATCAACAAATAGAAACAATAAAGAGTTGAAAATGTGACAGAGTTTTTAAGTGCTGGTGGTAAATGCTATTAAAAAATTTGAGGCAGGAGCTGGTGGCTTATGCCTATAACCCTAGCTATTTAGGAGGCAGAGATCAGGAAGATTGCACAGGAAGATTGCAGTTAGAAGCCATCCCAGGTAAATAGTTCATGAAACCCTATCTTGAAAAAACCCATCACAATCACACACGCACAGGAAATTAATGTGAGTCAACTCCCTGTATAGCTATCCTTATCTCAACCAGCAAAAACACTTGTTCCTTCCTATTATTGCTTATACTCTCTCTTCAACAAAATTAGAAATAAGGGCAAAATAGTTTCTGCCGGGTATTGAGGGGGTGGGGGGGAGAGGGAGGGGGCGGAGTGGGTGGTAAGGGAGGGGGTGGGGGAGGGGGGAGAAATGACCCAAGCCTTGTATGCACATATGAATAATAAAACAATAAAAAAAACCATCATAAAAAAAAGGGCTGGTAGAGTGGCTCAAGCTATAGGACCAAGTTCAAATGCCAGTACTAGAAAAAAAAAAAAAAATCAAAATAGTGCTTCCTTGAGGCCAAGTGCACTCCTGGCACTCCCCTACCCTTTCTGGTTTGGGGATACATACTGCACCCTAGTGGCCATTGTAGAAAAAGTCCTGTCTTCCGAGTTGTTCCTGATGTGTTCTGTTGGGGAGCCTGTATAACCTTCCCTCCCCACTTGACCTGACTGGCTGGACCACCTTGCCCCAGTGACTCCTACTGAGCCTTATGAGTTGTCCCTGCTCTTATGAGCTGTGTCCCTGTGGAGAGGACACAGACAGATCAGAGAGTGGTCTTGGGCAAGATCTCTAAACTTCAGTATCCCCAATGGTAAAACGGGGGTGATTACACATACTTTTGGAGCTTTGAAAAGAGTGGAAGACCATGCTCAGTGTATACTAGGTACTCTGTTACCTATCATTAGAAAAGATTCCTGGGAAAGTGTGCACAGATGGACTTCTGCCTCCCTTACTCATGTGTTGGGTAAGTGGGTGAGAGGAGTGCAAGGGGAGGTGACACAATGTCCTTGCCCTTTCCAGGGCAGGCAGCTTGACCACTGCTCCCTTCTCTCCAAGAGTTACCTGTTTATAAACTGTTCTGGTATGAGCTTGAGGCTTGCTTGTGCTGATGTGGCATAGGGACACTCTCCCAACCTTTCTGATCCTGTCTATCTACTTTCCTCATGATGGTTTAGGGCAAGAACCATTACCCCACTTGACAGATGTAGAAACCATCACCTGCAGTAAGCAAACTGCCAAAGGACAGAGAAAGCTGAGGCAGCAAGAGACATCCTTCCTGTTCAGGTGTGTTCTCCACACCCAGGAGGCTGTGCATCAGGAAGTAAGCTCAACAAAGCTTGAGGTTGAGGTCAGATTGGGTCCCTGGGCAGAACTTCCAAGTGAGCTGTTTGAAAGCCAGAGAGGGATACAGCTCATTTTTTTCCCTGAGGACTCAGCCTCCTCCTGGTACAGGGCACTTCTAGGTTAGGAATACAGGCCTGGATTGCAGTCCTGATGTGGCATATACTATGTGACTGTAGGGAGCTTGTACCTTCTGAATTTGGCCTTGCAGGCTGAAGAACCAGACTGGATTCTGGAGTCCCTTGGGGGGAATCCTTGACCTCTAAAAGGCCATGGAAAATGGTATGGGAAATCTGTGCAGAGGCCCTGTGGGGGTTGGGAGGCAGAATGTGCCCTCCAGTTTGGATGACAGTGAGGGTGATTAATTAAGAAGGTAACTGTGAAAGTGGAGGTGCTGGCCTGGTCTGGCAGTGCCTCTCCTTTTAGAAGGCACATTGTCAGGTTCTCCTTAAGAAACAAGGTATGCAGGCTTTTGGATATGAAACAAGATTGCCAGCACCACAGGAAGAAGTCCCCAAATCTAAATCTACAGGACCCACTGGCAGACTTTGCATCTCCCCTCAAGGCTGACATTCCTTCTTCCTCTGCCCTGTTTTCAGTCCTAGCTAGCACAGGAACCAGAGCTATCTCCCAGGCCCTAGAATCAGGAGGACCTGCTTTCATTTCCAGTCTTGCACATACTACCTGTTCCACACCAAGCTGGCACCACCACTGAGAGGAGCCAGCCCTGCCAGACAACTTACAGGGAATTCCAGAGGTAAGAGTTCTGGACCATAAAGGAACTCTTGCTGAGAGGCTGTAGGGCTAGAAGCCATGAGAAGTACCTTTCCTTTGCTGAGTCTACTTGGAGACCAGAGTGGGGATAGCTCCCCTGCTCATCCCTGGGCATCCTACCCTACCACCCCAATTTGAATTTCTTTCCTCTTTGTGGTGCAAACTCCCACCACCCTCCTCGTTTCACTCAGGTTGCCTCAGTAGACTTTTGGCTTTTTTTTTTTTTGGTGGTACTCAAGTTTGAACTTAATACTAGGTAGGTGCTCTACTACTTGGGCCACTCCGCCATCTTGGCTGAGTGTCTTGCCTCAAAGCAGCTCTCAATCTCTCCCACACAATTTTACCATCAGGCACTTCTCTTAGAACAGACTGGGTAAACTAACTCCATGTCAGATCTAGCCTGTTGCCTGCTTTTATACAACTCATGAGCTCAGAATAATTTTTATACTTTTAAGTGGCTGGAAAAAAAGTTGCTGGGTGTGCTAGTGAACGTTTCCAACCCAGCTATGCAGGTAGGATAGCGGTGTAAGACTGGTCTAGGGCAAAAATGTGAGCTCCTATCTGAAAAATAAATAAAGCAAAAATAGGCTGGGGGCATGCTTCAACTGGTAGAGTGCCTACCTAGCAAGTACAAGGACCTGAACAAAAGTACTATGGTAGGAGAGGAGGGGACAAAGAATGATGGAGGGGGTGAACTCGACTATGATATATTGTAAGAACGTTTATAAATGTCACAATGTACCCCCAGTACAATCATATAAATAAAAAAACCAACCAAATACTATGTCCCACCCTCAAAAAGATCAAAATATTTTTTGTGACATGTAAAAAACATGGAGTCTTATTTCAGTGTCCATAGGTGCAATTTCATGCTGTCTATGGCTGTTGACACAATGGCAGAGAAGGCTAGTTGTAATAGAGACTGCTAAGTCTCACAAGTCTAAATTACTTACTCTGGCCTCTCAGAGGTAATAAACCTGGCCATGCCACTCTGCTTTAGGATTTGTCAGTGGCCCCCCATGTCTCACAAGCTGACCCTGTTCACCTCATCACCTGAGCCTCCAGTGGGCTGCCTATTCTAAACGATTAACACTTCCTTAGCACAAGCTGTCATGGGGCAGGCATGTAGACATTCACCAGGTGAGACCTGGTTGGCATTTTATCCTTTTATTTAGCTAGTGCTGTGGAGGTGTTTACATATTTTCCAGATACCAAATATCCTTTTCATGAACTCTGACCATATCTGATGATTAGGTACCTCCATGTCTGCTATTCATCCAATCCTCACAACCATGGTGAGAAGGGTGAAATCTCCACTCCATCAAGTGGCAAGTTAGGTGAAAAAGCTGGAATCTGGTCAGACCTCGCTAATTCTAAGATGATGCCCACATATAGAGTTTACTCACTGATCCCACTGCTTGAAAGACACAACAGATGTGTATGGTGTCCTTTTGTGTCAGGGTCAGAACCTGCACTAATTGGGCCCGGGGAGAGGTTTTGTTGCTGTCTTTTCTTGTCAGTTGCTATGGTATGTACTTCATGACTTCCAAAGCAGATTGTCTGGCTGAGGACCAAAAGGGCAGCCCTGCTCTTCCTACAAAAATTAAGTATGTCTGTTTTTGACATTCCACATCTCAAATTTCTTTTTTGCTGCTCTGGGATTCAAGGCTTGTTTTCAAGCAGAAGGAAGTTGCTGAAAGTTTGGCTTCCATGATGAAGGGGTACCCATACAAAGAGGGTAAAACTAATGTAACTGTTGAGACATCTTCCTCAAAGGAGGCTGAAGAATGCCTCCAGTGGGCTGCTGGGCAAAGCTCTGGTCTATCCACATACTTCTTTGAATATTCAAATAGAGGTCCAGAGCTCAGACAGGGAGAGCCAATATGGCTGCTAAAGGCCTAGGAAAAACCAACACAGGACAGTTGTCTATGTGAGACTCTTTATCAACCAGAGAGGAGTTAGGGCTACACTGGTCAGTACACAGAGGCCACAGTGCAAACCTGGTAGAAAGAAGAACGTGCTCCATGTCTTCCATTATTATGGGAGATGGCCAAACTGTCACTGGACAGATTTGGTGATGTGGTGTGAGAGGTGCCAGACTTGAGAAAATGGAATTCTGTAAAGCAACCTGACCCTCACTCCTAGGTCTCAAACTGACAGCATTGGGGAACACTAAAAGAAGTTCAACTAGACAGACTTATGAGAGCTTTTGGTAAAAGACTTAGATAAGGTGACTGAGCATACGATGACATGTGATTCCAGATATAGTGTACCAAGTCAATGTTCAGTATTTCAGACTGAGAGATTTGCTCGTGACTTTTCACATAAAAAAAGTGAGGTCCACTTGATATTGCAGGCATTTTCAGGATTAACAACTGGACAACTGACACTACGACTAGGTGCCATAAGGCCAGTTTGAGGCTAAAATTCTTTTTTCCAAATAAAGTCCAATATTCCTCCAACCATCAGAGCAATCATAGTGATGGTATGAGGAGCCTCAAATACATGACTAAAAACCTAATGACCATACAATCAGAGATCTGGCCATACATTCTGTATAAAGAAACACTTTATACAGACAGGAATAGACAAGGGAATTTCTGACACATTCATGCCTTGGATGTATCAGTACAAGACAGCATGTGAGGCTGTGATTCTGCCAGGCAGTAAAAAACAAGCTTGAATTTATCTGCTGGCAAATGAGTCTCCACTATACCTAATCATTCTTTTATCTAAGTGCCTCTTGATCTTCTCAGTCCTGGACATCAAAATAGTCAATTACTGGCTCCTTTGCTATCTTCTGAAAATTATTGCTCCCAGGATTCCTGAAAAGCAAACAAAGACCAATAAATCTTTTCTTCTCTGGGGGAAACAGAAACAAGTCTTCAAAGAGTTAAGAATCGGCTGATTGACCACTTGTGAAGCTTTTTGGCAAACATGAACTGGTAATTGTTGAAATTTGGTAAGGGCAGATAGGCATTCATTACATTAATACTATTCTCTCTACTTCAAAAAAAGTTTCCTTATTAAAGTTTACCATACAAATCAACCATGAGCTGGGAACTGGTGGCTCCCACCTGTAATCCTAGTTACTCGGGAGGCAGAGATCAGGAGGATTTTGGTTTGAGGCCATTCTGGGCAAATAGTTCCTGAGATCCTACCTCAAAAATACACAACACAAAAAAAGGGCTGGTGGAGTGGCTCAAGTGGTACAGCGCCTGCCTAGCAAGTGTGAGGCCCTGAGTTTAAACCCCAACATCGCCAACAACAAACAAAACCAACCATGGCATAAAGACGCCAATGACTCCACATGGTTGTATCCAAGTGGAACTATACAAAGCTGTAGCAGTGTCTTGGAATATCCCTTACATTTTGAACACTGCTGCCTAAGTGGTTATGCAGACTATGCCAACCAGAATCCAGGTCATCTGGTTTTCCATAGGTAGAGAGGGACTGGTCCTGTAGAGCTACACAGTCCAGATTCTTCAGTAAGGCTGTACCTAATGGGCAATGCCTGGCTATTCTGTCCAGTCCCACAGAATGCCAATTGCTCGGTCATGATGACTTTGTAAACTGCCCTGTTTACCTTTCTACAGGTTTTGTGGAGGATGCACAGAGGAAGGAGGCTAGTGAAGGGGCCACTCCACCAGCCTCCTTTTTTGTGATAGGATTTTTGAGATAGGGTCTTATGAACTATTTGCCCAGGCTGGCTTTGAATTATGGTCCTCCTTATCCTTCTGGCCTTCCACAGTGCTAAGACTGTGTGGAAGGCCAGAAAGAAATAAGGATTCCTCTGGATTGCAGAGCAACTTTCTGTCACACTGCCATGGTTGCAGGAGAGTTGCTGGGCACCGCTTTCAAAAAGGAACAGGAAGGGACAGATGGATAATACTCTTTCCCTGCTCCTTTCTGAGAAAACACCTGGCAGACCTGCTGCTCATCAATTTGGGTCTTCTCTCTCTCTTTTTGCAATACTGGGGTACTCAGGGCCTACACATTTGAGCGACTCCACCAACCTCCTTTTTTATGATAGGATTTTCGAGGTAGGGTCTCAAGAACTATTTGCCTAGGCTGGCTTCAAACCATGATCCTCTTGATCTCTGCCTCGAGTAGCTAGAATTACAGGCATGGGTCTCAGGCGCCCAGGTTCTTTTCTTTTTAAATCATGAATATGTTTTTGCTGTAAAAATCATTCAGACCATATAGAAGTAGATGGACAGATGGAATAAAACACGAAAGTCCCAACTCACCTTCACTGTCAACTATTACCCCCTAATCCCACTTCCATCTCCACAGTAACTATTGTTAACTATGTGATATTCCAGTCCTAAATCATTTGGTGTGGAACTAAAATCACAAACATCAAGCCTCTTTTGCTTGAACAGATGTGTCTGACACCCCAATCAACCTTACATATTTGAACATAGCACCCTAAGGCCAAGCCCAATGAGGCCACCAATGGCTAGTGCAGCCCAGGACATTTCACTCCTGCTGGCTTCTCTGACCAGACTATCCCTTTGGAAAGCAGCTGAAGAATCCTTACTTGTCTGTCTGATGTCTGTGATGAGGAATTGGAGGTGGAGGTCGTGTCTGCATTTCCCTTTCAAGCACACCTGTCAGCGTGGTAGGAGGACAAATGGACTTCCCTCTGACAAGAGTCAAAACACAGAGTACTGAAAAGTAAGAACTGCTTGTAGAGATAGGCAGATAACTAGAACTCAGCCCTTGACTTTGGCACTATGATGCTGTTGAGGACTCCCTGACATGACCTGCATCCTCTCAGTTGTGGTCACTTGCATTCAACCCCATCCCTTCTGCTGGACCTGCTGTTTGCTTCCTCATATGCCACACTTCACTTCTCTTCATCGGGAAATTCTGACTCCCTCAGGTTCTGATAGTGACCCTAGGTTCTCCTTGTCCCCTCCAGGTTCACACTACCGCCTGTTTCTGTTAGTGGCAAAACAGTTTTCAGAGGACCCCTTGAGTTGAGAAGTCCAGCATTCTTTCTGTTTTCATCATGTTAGGAGGGCACACCCAGGAACAGGAGACAGAAAAAGGACAGACGTGATGAGAAGGCATCCTGTTAAGGCTCCTAGGGCCTGCTCCCTCCACCTGCAGAAATGCTGCCTCCAGCACCTGCCATGGATCAGGGTAGACATGACACTTGGGCACCTGGGGTGTATCTGCTCTGGAATGAGGCATGAGCTTTGCCCTCTAGCTCAGACCTTTAGATCATTAGGAAATGGCAGTCCCAGAGAAGAAAAATTCCTTCTACTCTTCCAAGAGGGAGAAGAAGTAAGGAAAGCAAATACTGACAGACCCTGCCTCATGGATTGTCTGCCCTGCTGAGGAGTTCCTCCTGCGACATCAAGATCAACCTACCTGATGGCAGTGACCACGACGTTGCGCTTCGGTTCACTATCATAGCTTACGCTCTCCAGGCCATAAACTTGGGCCAGGTCATGGATGATCCGGCGGTGGTCTCTGTTCATGGGAGGAAAGCAGTGGCTTTTCTTATTATTCTTTCCCTGTATTGAGGGAAGAGATGACTTGATTGATAACATAATCCTGAAAACAAAAAATGCTTACAACTATCCTTACCACCACAGGAGTAGCTTGGCCAATAAGAGGTGACTGAATTTTAGAGGTTCACAGTTATAGCCTTTTACTACCTGCTACACGAGCCCAGAGGAATGTGGATGGGAGCTGAAGTGCTTCTTTGCCTATGTTGTGATGAGTAGACAGACAGGGTTAAGGACAAAAAATAAGTGAACTGAGACTTAGTGGAGAGCTTAATTATTCCTCCTGAGGAGGCTAGTAACTGGGGAGTGAGTGATATTCCCAAGAAATTACTAAAAAAAATTGAAGACTTAAAAAACAAAGAACATTTCACTTACTATAAAAGTATGTTCTACACTAAAAGCCCTGAGTATGCAGATACAGATATACTCAGGTCTCCTGATTAGAAGAGGAACAATGCATTCTACTTGTCCTTCAGGTGACTATCCTGTTGGGAAGTGGTAACAGAATGGGGGAAAGGAAGGGAATGGGAAGAGGGTGAGGGAAATAATGGGAAGGAAAATGACCATCATTAGACATGAAGCTAAAATAGTCATTTTGTCTTCCCTCTCAGTCTCCGCCTAAATTGAAGATTTTTTCACATAAATCTACCTTCGTGACATCCCTGGGTGCCTCCATAACAGGGGCCTCACTCTGTCACTGTTCTTCAGCTCTAGTGATACAGCTTTTTAACTTTCTCCAAAAGTTTCTGCCCTGTCTTTGGGGTAACAAAGGAAGAGTATGTTCTACTATCACACACATACTTTTCAGAGATCTGAGGGCCTCATAGGTCTTCTAAGTTTCCCACAGTCAGCCCTCCTTGTCCGGAGTTTCTTCACCCTTTGTAAGCACTGAGATAGGATTTTTTTTCCCCCCCTTTAGTACTGGGGTAGAACTCAGGACCTTTTACTTGCTAGGCAGATGCTCTAATACTTTAGTCACTCCACCAGCCCTTTTGTTTGTTATTTTTGAGACAGAGTCTCTCTTTATACCCAGACCAGCTTGGACCTTGATCCTCCTATTTGTGCTTTTCCTACATAGCTAGGGATGGTAGGCATGAACCACTGCACCCAGTCACTGATTGAGATGGGGGAGTTTCATCAACTTTTTGCTGGGGCTGGCCTTGAACCATGATCCTCCCAATCTCTGCCTCCCCAGTAGTTAGGATTACAGGCTTGAGCCTCCATGCTTGGCCCTGAGCTAGGATTTTAAAATTTCTTAAACAACTTTTTTATTTTGGTACTGGGATTTAAACTCAAGACCTCATACTTGCCAGCCAGGCAGGTGCTCTATCACTTGAGCCACTCCACCAGCATGAGCTAGGATTTTTTTTATTTTTAAATTTACATTTAATTTTATTGCAGTTAACTTTTCTGTAATGACTGGACCAGGAACGTTCCATGGATGTTATAATGGCTGGGCTTTTGGGAAAGATCAGTACTCTCAAGGAAGCTGTGACTTTTTCCTACAACTACTCTAGGCTGACAGTGTTTCTGGACTTCATTCTTTCTTTCTTTATTTTTTTGGGTTAAATTCCTCTAAGGCTGGCCTCAGTGGAACGTCTAGTTGGATATTTTGATTTCAACCTTATTCACGGCCTCCACAAGAGTTTCCATTTCCTTCTCAATGTCACTGACAAACTTTAAATCCTTCCTGAAATGAGAAATCATCACAGTTAATTTCATCTGTTCCTGTCCTTCTGGGAACCCCTTCCACCCACCCTGTGCCTATAAAGTGCAGATGAGGGACAATGTTGGCAAAAAAAATCCTACAGAATATAGTACAGCCCTTGGTAGGCCCACATTCCTACCATAGGGACCATCTCTTCAATCCCAAGTTCAGTTCTTCAAGGTGTCGGTTTTGAGAAACTAAGGATGAATTTTATTAAACAACATGCAATTTATTATAATAGAGAAATTAACTTCACTTGGCTTAACTTCAGAAAGAACACTATTAAACATTCTCATAAGCCTCAATTAAAAAAGTAGATAACAAGTTAAAACAAATAAAAATAATAAAAACAACAATCACAAAAAACCCCCCAAGTTACATACCTGGCATCATCTTTCAAGCTATCACTGAATTTTGACCCTGAAGAACGTACATTGAAAGGATCAGAATCATCACTGATATCAAATGCCTCTGCTAATCTTCTGAAAATGAGAGAGAAGTATGCAAATTCAGGTAAAGGAGGGAGAGAGAAAATATCTTCCACAGTAGCCCTCCTTTATTTTCAGGGGATACATCCTAAGACTGCCAGTGGATGCCTGAACACTGTTTTTTCCTATGCATACATTATCTATGATAAAGTTTAACTTTTGGGCACAATAAGAGATTAACAATAACTTACTGTAGATTTTAGCAATCTCAGCATATGATGTTCTTTATTTTTTGTTTTTATTTATTTTATTTTGGCAGTACTGAAGCTTGAACTCAGGGTCTACACCCTGAGCCACTCCACCAGCCCTTTTTTTGATGGGTTTTTCAAGATAGGGTCTCACAAACTATTTGCCTAGACTGGCTTCAAACCATGATCTCCTGATCTCTGCTTCCTGGTAGGTAGGCTTACAGGTAAGATCACCAGCTGCTGATGATTGTTATTAAAATAAGAACCTTCACCTTTTTACTTATAGAAAGCTCTTTTTCTTCCCTTTGATATATCTGAAGTACCAGCATCACTACTCTTGAGCTTTGGAGCCGTTACTAAGTGTAAGGGTTACTTAAACACAAGTAATGCCTCAACAGTCGAGCTGGTAACTGAGATGGCTACTAAGTGACTGGACAAAGGAATGATTCACATCCTTCACAAGACAGAGTGAGTAGGATGGCATGAGATTTTATCACATTACTCTGAATAGTGTGCAATTAAAAATTTTTGATTTCTTAATTTCTGGATTTCTTCATTTAATATTTTCAGTTGACTATACATAATGAAAACTGTGGAGTGAAACTGAGGGTAAGTGGACATTAGTTATCACATTTCCTCATTTCTGTAAACTAGATTACTAAAGAAAGAACAACTTGGAACAAATGTGGTATTTTTTTTTTTTTTTTTTTGGCAGTCCTGGAGTTTGAACTCAGGGGTTTCATGCTTGCTAGGCAGGTTCTCTACTTGAGCCATGGCTCCAGCTATGGGTATTGACGTCATAGAAGAAACTACTTAAAATAGATCTATATGAGTCTGAGCAAGCTGAATACTGGAGACTTGGATTACCTGGGAGAAGAGAAGGCTGGGTTTCTGAGATCACTGGGAATGGTAAATGGGGGATGACTTTCTCTGAGGCTTAACTTAAGAACAAGGTACAAGCCAGCTGCTGGTAGCTCATGCCTGTAATCCTAGCTACTGAGGAAGCAGAGATCAGGAGGCTTGCGGTTTGAAGCCAGCCCAGGCAAATAGTTAGCAAGATGCTATCTTGAAAAAAACCATTACAAAAAAAAGGGCTGGTGGAGTGGGGCCCAAGTAGTAAGAGTGTCTGCCTAGCAAGCGTGAAGCCCTGAGCCCAAACCCCAGTGTTACAAAAAAAAAAAAAGGTACATAATCTAGAGATGTAGCTAGCTCAGTGGTAAAGTACATGCTTAGTAAGCACAAGGCCCTGGGTTCAATCCCTAGCAACACACACACACAAACACATGGGACACAAAACAGACATATAAGACGGGCGCTGGTGGCTCATGCCTATAATCTTAACTACTTAGGAGGCTGAGGTTGGGAGGATCTTGGTTAGAGGACAGCACAGGCAAATAGTTCGAAACCCCATCTCTAAAATAACCACAGCAAAATGGACTGGAGGTATGGCTCAAGCAGTATACTGTCTGCTTTGCAAACGTGGAGCCCTGAGTTCAAACTCCAGTTCTACAAAAAAGAAAAAGACATTTATACAGGCATGAGCCACCACACCTGACTAGACAATTTAACTCTTGATGATCACATTTCTCCTGCTGTCTGTTAGCAATAAAAGATTCAGAGCACATGATGGGTGATTGAATGACTGCTCCCTCCCATTAATTATAGGACTCAAGAAGAAGTAGATAACAAGCCTCTGAAACCACTTACTTTTTTCTTTCCAAGGCTGAACACTCCTCATCACATTCCAACCTTGATAAACAAATGAAAAAAACAAAGTCAGGGCACAGGCTCTACAGCTCCTATCCAGCAATAAAGTCTTGGTGTCAGACTACCTGACAACACAGTCAACTCTTGTCAAAGGACTTCTGCCTATGAGGTCACTTCTACTTTATAGGTTTCACTAGCACCCCTCCTCAGGAATCTCACTGTCTCCTCTTGGTTCCAATCCAGGGAGGCTGGATGAGGTCCTTCTCAAGGACCAGTCCTCAGGCTTACTGGGAGTCTAGGAATGCTCAGTGGGCTTCAGAGTGTTCTCTGGCAGCTCAGTGGCCAAAGTACTCTGCAGATATCATTCTGACAGTCCCTTCTTCCTTTCCAGATACAGTCATCACTATGGTTCTCTGTTCTCCTGTAGGATGGGCTGGGTACATCTTCCACTGTTAACTGTCTGCAGTGAGGTCTGGAAAGTCTCCTCTGGTCTTAGCTATGTCTGAATAGGACTCAGGGCTGGAATGTGTGCGGTCTAAAAATCAGAGTCTGTTGAATACCTTCTGTGTGTGTGAGGGAATTGAGGTAAATGATAAGCCCTGCCCTCGAGAAATTAAGTCTAACTGGAGAAAGAAAGCATACACATATACTTCAAAATTACCTGGCTTGTTGAACTTCCTTCTTGGTAATTAACTTGCTGATCTCCACTGAATCTCCAAGTTGCATGTCTGTTATTTTAGAGGCCATAGAAATTGCAGCTATTCTGAAATACAAAAAAAGAAAAAGAGGCATTGCAGTTTCACAAGAACCTCCCTATGCTAGGGATACAGAAGACCTCTTTCAAAGCCAAGCCACCAGAAGACAATTTGTGTAGCTTTGAAAGTCTGTGTATTACAAACTACCTACACATTACGGCATATGTCCTCAGTTAGGTTCTAAGCAGCTACGCAGGAAATGAAGAGGTAATACATTTCCTCAGAGGTCCCTTGAACATCCAGGCCAACGTGCACCACTCTTGGTTTTTAAATGAAGCCAACCTAGTGTCTGTACACTCTTAAGGTCCTACATCCACGGCATACCTTCACATCAAGTCAGAGATACAAACAGCAAGTCATTCCCTGATACCTCCATCAGTGTACACAGATCTTTGCATGACCACACAGGTCCTAAGACTTCAAGAAGCTGTAAGGTACCTCTAAGAACAATTAGAAACCCCCACGCTGGGGAAGAGACACAGGACTTACCTTTGCCTGTGCCAACAAGTAAGTCTTGGAATAATAAAGCAAATCATCACTTCAGTTGGGACAACTTCCCTTCCCAGCTCCAAAGGGTGTGTGTGGGGTTTGGAGGAGGGGAAGGAGGAGAAGCTGGTGGCTTACACCTGTAATCCTAGCTACTTGAGAGGCTGAGATCAGTGGGATCACAATGTAAAGTCAGCCAGGGCAAAAATGAAGGGAGACTCTACCTTAAAAATAACCACAGAAAAAAAGGATTGGAGGTATGGCTCAAGCGTAGGTACAGCAGCTTCCTAGTAAGTGAGAAGCCCTGAGTTTGTATCCCAGTACTATGGAAATAAAACAAAAAAAAAAAGACAGGGGATGGAGGTGGGATGGGGTGATGTGGTATGGAGGGGGCAGGGTGAGAGAAAGGGGAAGGAGGAAGAAGAAAAAGAAAATGATCCTTTTGCAAATTAAAGTTAAGAAAGAAGAGGCACTTCAAAGCAGCACTTTTTCTTTTCTTTCTACTTGAGCCACACTTCCGCTCTATCTTTTTTTTTTTTTTTTTTGCTTTAGTTATTTTTTAGGTAGGGTCTTGTGTTTTTTCAGGGGGCTGGCCTCAAACTCTGATCCTCTTTGCATGGCTACAATCACAGATGTGTACCTCACAGATGTGAATCATCATGCCCAACTAAGAAATTAAGATTTTTTTTTTTGGCGGTACTGGGGGTTTGAACTCATAGCTTCACACTTGCTAGGCAGGCACTCTACCACCTAAGTCACTCTGCCAGCCCTTCTTTGTGTTGGGTATTTCTGAGATAGGGTCTCACAAACTATTTACTAGGCTGGCTTTGAACCACGATCCTCCTGAGTAGCTAGGATTACAGGTATGAGCCACTGGCACCCAGTAAGAAATTAAGATTTTAAAAAATATTTTCAAGGCTGGGAATATAGTTTGATGGTAGTGTGCTTGCCTAGCATGTGTGAAACCCTGGGCTTGATCCCTAGCACTAGAAAAGAAAAATCAATAAAACAAAAACAAGTAAGAAAACTTTCCAACTTTAGAAAAGTCACAAGGATATTACAATAAATCTATGAATTGCCTTCACCTACACCCACCAGCTGTTAACATTTCTATAGCACTAACCTTTGATAAGTACTGGATGCTTCAGAGCAAATCACCATTTCTTTTCTCCGCCCACATTCACACTGTAGCTCTACCTGAAATCAGATTAGCATGGAATAACTCTTAGCATGGAGAGACTCAGCACATGAAAACCATATGAAGAAACAGGCTTTACTTCTTTTCTTGGTAGTACTGAGGTTTGAACTCAGGGCCTCGTTGTTGCTAGGCAGACACTCTACCACTTAAGCCACACTCCTAGTTCTTTTTTGCTTTAGTAATTTTGTTTGGATAGGGTTTTGCATCTGTCCTCAGTCTCAGGCTATAATCTTCCTACCTATAGCTTCCCTCATAACTGGGATTATAGATTGGCATCACCACATCCTGCTCATTTGTTGAGATGGGGGGGGGGTCTCACTAACTTTTTTGACCTGGAGTGGACTCAAACCACAATCTTCCAGGTCTCTGCCTTCTAAGGAGTTGTGATTACAGGTGTAAGCCACTATGTTAAGCCCCAGGTTTCATTTTTAAAGTCTCTCTCAAATCAAACCATAGCAGAGAACAGAGTCAATTAGTGGCCACTCTCCAACATGGAAAAAGTTTCCTTGGAAACTATTTTTTTTTTTTCTCGGTACCAGGGTTTCAACTCAGGGCCTACACCCTGAACCACTCTACCAGCCCTTTTTTTTGTGATTTTTTTTTTTTTCAAAATAGAGTCTCGAGAACTATTTGCCTAAGCTGGTTTTGAACCACAAAAATCCTCCTGATCTCTGCATACTGAGTAGCTAGGATTACAGGTGTGAGCTACCAGTGTCCAGCTTGTTTAGTTTTTTGAGACAGGGTCTCATTATGTAGCCCAGGCTGGCCTCAAACTCATGACTGTCATGCCTCAGTCTCTTGAGTGTTGGGATTACAAGTGTGTGCCATCATTCCTAGCTAATTCTGTTCTCAATCTTGGCTAAAGGGCCAGGCCTAGAAGTTTTTTCCCATTGAACCAGAGGTGGACACTTGATCCAGGTCCAACTGAGGTCTGGGCAACTCTAGCTAATCCCTCATCTTTCACCCTCCTTAGGGATGTTCTTTTATGATCCCTCAGACCAAGCTAAGCATCACACTTACATGCTGTTGTAACAACCTCTACGAGGTGTAACAACTCCTCTATGACAACTCTATGAATTGTCTGAGTAATTATTTAGTCAATATATGCCCCACTGAATTATAAGGGACTACTGGCCTTATTCACTAGTTCAGCCTCAGGACCTCACACAGAATCTCGTATACAATATGCATTTATTAATTTTTGAATAAACGGAGTAGACAATCAGACTGTCTTGGGAATGTAATTTAAGGGAGGCAGGGACTGTGGTCAGGTGGCAGTGGGTACCTGCATGTTCAGGGGTCACTGCAGTTGGTTCTGGATTCACTAGCAGCCTCAGAATAAATGCTCCATGTGGAGCCAGCAATACGCACCTTGGCTTTACAAGCAGTCACAGGGCAGGGTGAGCCAGGGTGGCAGGGCGCCATACATGGGTGGCCACAGTCAGCTCTGGGGATGGTACATGGCTGCTTGCAGGTCTCGTCCACAAGACATTCTCCTTTGTGACAGAGTCTCTGACACTTGTGCATCCCACATGGTAGCGTGGCACTGCAGGGCAATCCGCAAGAGATATCAACCAGGTGACAGGGGATGTTGCTTCGTAACTAGGAGAGACAGAAGTAGCCAGGTTCTCATCTTCGTGTGGGAACTGGGGTGAATTTTTACTTTTTCTTAAAACATTTCTGAAATTGTAATTTCTGAAATTAAATGATGTTTTTACAAAGCTTTTTTTTTTGGTGGTACTGGGGTTCAAACTCAGGGCTTCACACTTGCTAGGCAGGCATTGTATCACACTCCATCAGTTCTTTTATTTTGGTGGTATTGGGTTTTGAACTCATAGTTTCATACTTGCTAGGCAGATGTTCCATCGCTTGAGCCACTCTGCCAGCTCTCCATCAGTTCTTTTTTGCTTTAGTTATTTTTCAGATAGGGTCTTGCTTTTTTGCCTGGGTTAGCCTCAGACTGTGATCCTCCTATTTATGCCTCCTGCAGGGTGGGACTGTAAGTGTGCACCACCATTCCTGGCTTCTTTGTTGAAATGGAGTCTCGATAACTTTTTGTTTGGGTTCACCTTGAATTTCAATCCTTCCAATCTCCACCTTTCGAAGGGGAAGGATGACAGGCATATACCACCATGTCTGGACCTCAGGCCTTGCTTTTTTAGAGACAGGGGTTTGATACATAGCTCAAGCTGGCCTGGAACTTGAGATCCTCCCACCTCAGCCTCCTAAGTGCTGGGATTGCAAGCTTGTACAACCATACCCAATTTAAAAACAAAATTTTTTTCTGAAAACAACTGGTTTTACTTTCAATGCTTTAGAGGTTAGTTTAAAAAAGCAAACCTGAACTTTAATGCTGTTATATCTAAAAAGATTTGTGGTGGTAGGCATGTGTGACCAGGAATAAACTTTCTAAGGCGGCAGCAAGCAAATGAAATCAGACAACTACATAGTACTTAAAAACTCTATGACTGCCCTGGTGAATTGACAGTAGCCAATACGAGCTGTACTGGCTGGAAAGTAATGTTACAGTGGAGTGAGGAGGCTGTACCTGGCTCCTGCAGAGGAAACACAACTATACCTGGGCAAGGGACATCCTAAGTAGCCAAGAGGCAAAATGTCACCATGTGCATTCTTTATGCAAACTTGCCAGGAGGAACACAAGAAGCCTAAACGCTTCAGTCAACTTCTCAAAATTTTCTAAGAAGTGCTCAAAGAAATAAAAGACTTCTTTGTGTAGAAGAGAAAGAAAATATGAAGACATAGCAAAGGTGGACAAGGCTTGTTATGAAAGAGAAATGAAAACCTGTAATTCTCCTAAAAAGGAAACAAAATAGGTTCAAGGATCCCAATGCACCGAAGAGGACTTCTACTCCCCCACCCCTTCCAATGGTATAGGGGATTGAACACAGGGTCTCATGCCTGCAAGGCAGGTATGCTACCACTTGAGCCATGCCCCCCAACCCAAGAGGACTCTTATGGCCTTGTCCTGTTCTTGTTATCATCCAAAATCAAGGAGAACAGGCTGGCCTACCCTGGTGATGTTGCAAGAAACCGGGAGAGATGTGAAACAACACTGCTGTGGTGACAAGCAGGCTTATGAAAAGAAGGTTGATCAGCTGAAGGAAAAATATGAAAATGATATTCCTACCTACTAGGCTAAAGGAAAAACCTGAAGCAGCAGAAGGGAAGAAGGAACAGGAGGAAGGTGAAGAGGATAAGCGGAGGATGAAGATGATAAATAAGGTGCTTCTAGCATAGTTCTTTTTTTTTCCTTGTCTGTAAAGGATTTAACTCCCTGGTACACAACTCACTTCTTTTAAAGAAAAAAACTGAAAAAGTCATGTAAGATTTGTGCCCTTCATTTTTGTGTGTCTAGTGTTGCATGCTAGGCAAACACTCTACTACATCCCCAGCCATCTTTTTAATTTTTTGACAAAGGGTCTTGTTAGGCAGCCCAGTTTGGCCTCGAACTTGACATCCTCTTGCCTCAGCCTCTTACATACTACTCTTCTGTATTCTTTTTAAATTTTGGGCGTGGTACTGGGGTTTGAACTCAGGGTCTCATGCTAGGCAAACACTCTACCACTTGAGCCATGATCCTGAGCCCTTTTGCTTTAGTGATTTTTCATGGGGTCTCATGTTTTTGCCTGGGTGGACATGGACTGTGACCCTCCTATTTATGCCTCCCACGTAGCTGGAATGACAGGTGTATGCCACTATGTCCAGCTTTATGGTTGGGATGGGGTCTTGTTAACTTTTTTGCCTGGCGTGGTCTCAAACTATGATCCTTCCAATCTCCAATTCCTGAGTAGCTGGGATTATAGCTGTAAGACACGGTACTCAGCCTAATTGTTATACTTATGTAGTCATTCAAATTCTTTCAAGAGCCCTCAAAATGAGGAATATACTTCCACTCCAGTGATATAACGTCTACCTTTGAAGAGGTCTCCAAAGTCTAAGATATATATGCTGTTTGCTTTGGGATGAGTATTTTGGTAGAATGTAGTTCTCAACCATTAAACACTTACCTATTCTTGTATCAGGTCCTGGGAATAACTTTTGCTTATCATCTGTCTTCACTATTCATTCTCCACATTACTTATCCATATTCTTACTCTCCTTTAGGGTGTAATTTCTTCCAAAATGCCCTCGAGAGTAACCTTTTTTATTCCCTTCAGTACTCTACTCCCACATTACTGCACTTATAACGGATCTCCCACCTGAATGAAGGCAATATAAGGGCAGGGGTCATGTCAGCCTTGCTGAGTTCTTAATTACTTCAAGTAACCTGTTACTTAGCACACAGCAGGTATTAAATTAATATTTGTTGAATGAAATTTTAAAAATAGATGTCTTAGAATAAATTTGCAGAGAAAGTGAGGTTTATAGAGGAAGAATAAATATGGAGGACTATGACTTGAGAATCACTCACAGGACATAAGTGGAGAAAAATATGTCCAATGTCCATCAAGATAAGAAAAGAGGGCTAGAGGTGTGGCCCAAGTGGTACAATACCTGCCCAGCAATTGTGAGCCCCACTATCACCAAAAAACCAAAACCAAAAAAAACCAAACAACTCCCCCCACAAAAAAAAAAAAAAACCACCACCATGCAAAGGTAAGTGAAGAATATTATATTGAGAAAGGATGTTACATATATCAAGAGAGTTTCAAGAAATGCTGGCCAACATGTTATGAAGTAAAAAAGAGCAGGCTATAAAACAGTACACTCTTAGGGTAAGGGAAAGGATGAATCACACTTGCCTGGTAGATTATACACCAGAATGTTAAGAATATTTCTTTCTCTAGCTTGGTTTGATCCCTAGTACTACCAAAATAAACAAATAAACAAACACAAATAATTCTTTTTTGGCAACAGAAATGCATCTTCTCAATTATCTGTACAAAATTTGCACTTTTTGAATTAGAAAAATTAAGTGTTTAACAAGGGTTTACAGTCAACAATGCTAAACATGGCTTAGAGGTTAAGAATAAAGGTGAAAGTCCTTCAGGGTACTGGCCATATAAAGTTAACAGGGAGACTGGAGGAAGGTACATTGTCCCAGCATTCAGGATGGGAAGCTAGGACCTAGAGAGAAGGAACTTAGTTGCTAGTGGAGAGGTCACCTCTACTCTTGGATATTCACTGAAACAGAACCTTTTCTTGGATTAGTAATATTTCCCCATACCAGTTAACCTAGAAGTTGTCTTTGAACACAGCAGTGTTCTTAAGGCCAGCTGGGTTAAATTTCATTTGGCTATATTCAGATTTAAAAATGAGCCAGGAACTGGTGGCTCACATCTGTAACCCTAGCTACTCAGAGATTTGAAACCAGCCTGGGCAAATATTTCACAAGACCCTATCTTGAAAATACCTAACACAAAAATGGATGATGGAGTAGCTCAAGGTGTGGGACCTGAGTTCAAGCCCCAGTGCTGCAAAAAAAAAAACCAGATTCAAAATACTACCTACGAGATGATTCCATTTCTGTGACATTCTCGGGACAGACACAAACAGATCACTGGTTGTCAGGGTCTAGAGATGGGGGAAGAGTAACTCTAGGGGGCACAAAGGAATATTTGGAGAATGAACTGTTTTACATCTTGACTGTGATCGTGGTTACATGACCTTATGGATGCTTTTGTTAAGAAACTTACAGATCCTTACACTAAAAAGGGTAAATATTATTGTATGCAAACTTTACTATAAAAGAAAGTGGCAACAGAAAGATTATGCTTCTTGGAGTATATTCACGTTGAGAAATGATGAGGTTAACAACTCTTACATTATTAAATCATGAGCTGGGTGCCAGTAGCTCACATCTACAATCCTAGCCACTTAAGAGGCAGAGATCAGGATTGGGGTTTGAAGCCAGCCTGGGCAAATAGTTCATGAGCTACTATTTTGAAAAAACCCATCACAAAAAGGGCTGGTGGAGTGGCTCAAGGTGTTGGCTCTGAGTTCAAATCCCAGCTTGAGGAAAAAAAAATTTTAGCTGGAGCAATGAACATGTGAGAGAGAAAACTTACCTCATGCTTGCCCATGCACCACTTCTGAGTTAGGAAAGTACAAGGGGGACACTTCTCCTCACTATGACAAGAATGATACACTGCAGAAAGAAAAGACTAACATTAGGAATAATTTCTAAGTAAAGGTCACATAAAACAAATGCATGTTACAAATGGCATATGACATGGAACTTTCATATTCTGGAGCTAGGTACAGGGGTGTACCTTGGGTAGCAAGTACAAGGCCCTGATTTCAATTCTTAGTAATATAATAATAATAATGAAAACATGCAACAAATTCTGGAGTTGGAAGTACTTTTTCTAGATGGTCACAGGTCAATAAAAAGTACCTAGCTTTGTATTCAAGCGTTGAGAGATGAGCATGAGTGGGAAAAAGAAACCCAACTGAGATGGGGGAAAAGACATGTCAAATTCCAGAAGCAGAAAGGGCAGCTTTCCCCTCATCTGCAGATAACCACCTGGTGTGTCCATTCTGCTACATTGTTTTGTTGGCCCTACCTTACAACATTGCAACTGTCCACTGGTGCTCAGATATTTTTGCCACTTATTTCATCTAAATGCTTTAGTAGTTGGGCATGCCTATATTCCCAGCTACTGAGGAGGTGGAGATAGGATTGCAGTCTGAGGCTGTCCCAGGCAAAAGCTTTAGACCTTGTATGAAAAATAAACTAAAAGCAAAAGGACTGGAGTGTGGCTCAAGTGGTAAGAGTGCTTACCTAGCAAGCATGAGGCCTTGAGTTTAATCCCCAATATTGCCAAAAATTAATAAAATGCTTCTGCTGACTTCTTTCAATGTCATTACTATAAGAAAGCACAGTTCATCGAAACTCTTTGACTGACCACATTCTACCCTGAGCTCCTTCGTACTCCTAATGTCTTAGTGCTCACACAGAAGGTATGTTGCCACACCATCTGGCCCATCCGCACATAAAGGCTATTCATGTCTTGTGTATTTAACTACCATCCTCCTCTTTCTCTCAAGAATATAAGAAAGAACCTCTAGGTCATGGGCAACTTTTTTTTTCATCCTCTGAAGTTTCCTCTGCCTGACACCATGCTGGATATACACTAGACATTCAAGACAATGCAAATAAATGCTGAACAAAAGTAGGCCAACAAAACACAATGTACTGTTCCTAAGGATATTGCCCAGCAGGATTTGGACTTCTTATTTGTAACATCTGCAAGTGAGTGAAAAAAGAGGGGCTGGGTGGGAACTGGCCTGGACATTTGCTTCATGTTGGTATGAACACCACAGCAGGAACTTACAGACTACACTCGGAGGGCCATCCTAAGGTTCCCAAGGAAGAAAGGAACTTTTCACTTCATGAGGAACTTGTTTAATTCTGTTTTATTCTATTAACTTAAAAATCAAGAGCTGGAGGAATATATAAGATGGGCATGGAGTGATAACTTCAGCCCTAGGATAGTCGGCCCAGCAAAACTATCATTCACAATTAGAAATTAAAGAAAAAACAGAAGAAGTCTTAGGCAAAAATCAAGAGCTGGTCATCTATTTGTAAGTCTGAATCACACAGCCAGCAGACTTACTATAGGTATCAAATCTGGTGACTTATTTTGGGTTTGTCCCTGGAGCTTGTTAAAGTGAAATGATGGACCCAATATGGTCTTAGATGCAAGTTAGCAACTAGATTGGACAAATAGGGAAAATGAACAATATCAAGATGTTTTTGGCCTGATGTCTACAGCAGTTTATTAGAGAAAAACTGGAAACAGCTTACATGTCCAGCAACATAAGACTGACTGAATAAATTGTGGCCTATCCATGTAACATGACACTCCATTTCAATTAAAAGTCTGTATTAAAAATGTTAATTGGTAAGAAGAAAAATTAAGACAACAATAAAAGAAAAATGCTACCTAAAAAATCATTACATTCATCTGGGTGCCTGTGGCTCACGCCAGTAATCCTAGCTACTTGGGAGGCTGAAATCAGGAGGACTGGGGTTCAAGACCCCCATCTCCAAAGTAACCAGAGCAAAATGGACTGGAGGTGTGGCTCAAGCAGTAGAGTGCCTCCTCTGCAAGCATGTAGCCCTGACTTCAAACCACAGTCCCACCAGAAAAAAAAAAAAAAAATCATTACATTCAGTAAGATCGTACTAGTTCATTCTTGGTTAAAAGTGCAAAAATTTGAATTTGGAAAGAGACCCTGAAAAATGTGTAACTCCTAGAAAGTAAAATAACAGATGACTTAATGTCAGTCTTCTGACTTTATATAATCTTTATTTTTTATTTAATAAACATACATTACTTCTATAACAACAACAAAATAACCAAGTTACTCTTAATTTTGTAAAAAGATGCTCAACTTTGAAATATGGACCAAAAATGGAGGTCACAAACAAAGAAAAATTCCTGGAAGACAAGAGTAGCTAGGGTGTCTTGCAGTCTTCTGGGTTGTGTTTGTCATCCACAGAGTAAAGCAACAAGTATGCTGTGAGTCTTACCTGGGGCCTAGATCATAGGTCCACCTTCATAAAAGCACGAGGAACAAGCGGCAGCTATCCCAGCATGACCTCAGAGCACTCAAAACAGTTGCATAGCAACTTTCTAAATAAGGTTGTAGGTGTAGAGGCAAGATGGGACTCACCTGGATGGTCACATTCATGAACTCTGGCACAAGTCTGGGTACATTCAGGGGGCCTAGTACCACAGGGAACTGGAGGATAGATCACTGATGCACCACAGTGGCAGGTTAATTCATCAAAACCTGGTGGAATAGCAGGTAAAACAAAAGAATTCTTCATGAGTTTGGGATGTGCGTAAGTTTATACACACATACATGGTTTGGGGACTACTTTTTTTTTGTTAAGTTTTTTTAACTAAACTTTTATTAAAGTTCATCTAGTGAAAAACACATATGTTATTATCACTCTGAACCTGACATTTTCCTCATACTTTTCCCAACACATGCCTGATTAGCTTGGAGGTTATATTAACGACTATGAGTTTTTAGTATTGTAATACAAGGTCTGTCAATATTTCAAAGATCTGCACAACTCAGTGAATAGTTTCCAAATGATCAATGTATGTTATTATAAAACCATGCATGGCTGGGTGTACATGCTTGTAATCCCAGCACTTGGAAGGTTGAAGCAGGAGGATTTTAAGTTTGAGGCCAACCTGGGCTACATAGTGAGAATCTATCGCAAAAAACAACCTAAAACAAACCAGACAAAACCAAAAACTATGTATGAGTAAAACGATCTATTCAAAGTACAAAAGAGACCAATGTACTTTAATGTGACAGAGAAAAATAACACTGACTCACATCCTTTCTGAAATGAACCTGAGTTTTGATATAATATCAAAGAACATTCAAAGTATCTGAAAAATTTTTATTTTATTTTATTTTTTTCATTTTTCTTTTATTATTCATATGTGCATACAAGGCTTGGTTCATTTCTCCCCCCCTGCCCCCACCCCCTCCCTTACCACCCACTCTGCCCTCTCCCTCTCCCCCACCTCAATACCCAGCAGAAACTATTTTGCCCTTATTTCTAATTTTGTGTAGAGAGAGTATAAGCAATAATAGGAAGGAACAAGGGTTTTTGCTGGTTGAGATAAGGATAGCTATACAGGGCATTGACTCACATTGATTTCCTGTGCGTGGGTGTTACCTTCTAGGTTAATTCTTTTAGATCTAACCTTTTCTCTAGTACCTGTTCCCCTTTTCCTATTGGCCTCAGTTGCTTTAAGGTATCTGCTTTAGTTTCTCTGCGTTAAGGGCAACAAATGCTAGCTAGTTAAAAATTTTTAAAAACAGTTTTTCAACTAGCTATGTATGTGAGACTGGATTCTTTCATATGCCTCAACTATATTGCAATAGACTGAATTCAGAAGTAGATAAGAGAATCCATCTACCTTCTATTAAACTAGGTATCTAATATTCTATTTTTTAAATAGTTTTTGTAAAAAGATGTGATTTATGTTAACATGCAATGGACATATTAAAGGGAGGCCTCTTCCCAAGGCATTGTCTACATCTCCCTTCTAACTCAGCTTCTCAGGTGCTGGGATTACAAGCATGCATCACCATGCCCTGCTGAGAACAACCTTTTCATTTTTAAAGTCTCGACATAGCTGCACTATTAAGGCCTAGTTCAGTAATCCACATTAATCTATGTAAATGAATCTCTCAAAATATATTATGCTTGAATTTCTAGGAAATTTTTATTTTTTTCAGTCTTGTTATATACACAGACCTTTCTGGCTCAAGACCTTTCTGGCTCAGTCTCCTCAGTACTGGGATCATAGGTGTGTGCCACTGTGCCAAGCTTAGGAAACTCTCATAAAATAGTGTAGAGTGAGGCGGGGGCATAGATCAAGTGATGGAGGTCTTGTCTAGCAAGCATGAAGACCTCAGTTTAATTCCCAGTAACTGCAAAAAGAAAAGTATAGAGTGAAAGCACTCACTGGCTTGCCAACATGTCTGGCAGTTCCCTCGATGACAAGGTTCTTCACACCTATGAAGGCCACAACGGAGTTTCCTCCCACAGATCAAAGGGCACTTGTGCTCCTTATCCTAAGAGGAGAGATTTCTACTTGTTCACAAAATGGTTTTCATTTTATATTTTCCATAAAAAAATAAGATAAATCAAAAAAAAGTTCTTCATATTTATGGATGAAATGATGGCAAAGAAATGGTTCAAAATAATCAGGGAAGAGGGCCAGGTGGAGATATGGATAAAACAAGTTTAGCCATGAGTTGATCATATAGGTGTTGGATGTTGTATATATGTCACTCACTATATACTAGTTTCTGCTTTTGTAAATGTTTGAAAGTTTTGATTATCACAGGAAGTCTTTAGGCTTTCAAGCACTGACTTATCTATCCATCTTGGTATAAAGCATAATTTCTCTTCACCTTGTCAATATGTAAGTTTTTATAACAATAATGATACATTTTACATATACACATATACACATATATGTACAACCTTTGTATTGGTACTGTGTTATCTTGTTTGTACATAAATATATACATATACATATATACGTTATCTTGTATATACATACAAGTTTATACATATATATTTACGTAAACATATATACTTATATGCACATACACACACACAAACACATTATGAATAACAAGATAACACAGTACTCATAGTCAGATTGTGCTTCTTGTAATCAGTTCCACAGAAATAAACATTGAAATATAAATAAATAAAAAACTTGTTCCTTTAAAAAATGCTATATTCATTTGCCTACTGACCTGGCCCAACAAGTATACGAAATCCAAAGCTCAAGTCGCAAAGTTCAGGCAGGGTGGAGAAATGACCCAAACAATGTACGCACATGTGAATAAATGAACAACAAAAACAACAACAAAAGTTGCAAAGTTCAGGCCAGTATGTGTTGGGACAACACATAATCTCTTGCAGGACTGTGTGCTCATGTAGTGGTCTTGGGCCCTGGGGTCAGAGCCCTTCTGTCTTTCCTCTTTCTCTTCCTTCATACTGCCACTGGATGATACTGTCTGACTTTTTGATCTGGATGAGGCCTAAAAAGGCTCAATCTTTTGGGCTGGCAGAGTGGCCCAGTAGTAGTGTGCCTGCCTAGCAAACATGAGGGCCTGGGCTCAAATCCCAGTACTGCCAAAAAAAAAAAAAGAAAAGGCTCAGTATCTCTGAATGGGTATGGAGACTACAAGAACACTCTGACTGCTGCTTAGGGGGCCCTCCCATTGATTTCTAAATTTGGGCACACTCCTGACCCTTAAGACTTCCAGATGAATGTAATCTGATTCAGACTGAGAAATGATAAATCCACTTACCACACAGCATATCTCATTACATTTATGTCGTCCACATAACCGTTTCTTGTTACACCGCTTGTCACACATAAATGTAGCATCTACTATGGCCAATTAAAAAGAAAGAAAATAAACATGCAAAGAATATAAATATTCACCCAACACACGTTTTTAGTTACTACAGGCTGAAGAAATACAAATGTAATAATGTAAATAAATTAATGATGGTGAAATGCATACTACAGTATTATTTTTCAGGTGTGATTCAAGTGGTAAAGTGTTTGCCTACTAAGCATGAGGCCTTGAGTGCAATCTCCAGTACTGCAAACCAAAACCAAACCAAAACAAACAAAAAACAAACTCATGCCTATAATCCTAATTACTTGAAGTTGAGATTGGGAGGGCTGCAGTTTGAATCCCAGGCAAATAGTTTGTGAGACCCCCATCTCCAAAATAAGCAGAGAAAATGAACTGGCTAAGTATGGCTCAGGTGGTAGAGTGCTTGCCTTGCAAGCATGAATCCCCGAGTTCAAATCCCAGTACCACCAAAACAACAAAAACAAAAACTGAGCAAGATATATATATATGTGTGTGTGTGTATAATTTTTTGCCTGGCAAATTGTCAAAAAACAGTAAAGAGTGAGACCAATTAACAAACAGCATGGGTAAGGGTGTAGAAAAAAAAGGTGCTCTCATACTTAGTAGGTGGTCATACATATATCTCAAAAATTTAAGTTGGATTTGTGGATGCACCTCAGTGGTAGAGCACCTACCTAGCACGTACTAGGCCCTGAGTTTAATCTTGAGCTCAAAAAATGAACAACAAAACTCCCAAAAACAAAACAACAAAAATAATTTAAGTGGTAATTCCATTTTAAGGAACTCTTACATACATACTTTCAAAAGTGGCTAGGAGGCTAAGAGGTTAAGTTTAGTGGTAGAGCAGTTGCCTAGCATGTGTGAGGCCCTGGCTTTGATCCCAAGGGGGAAAAAGTGGCTAGAACAACCAAAGATACTCATATAAATTGAATTTCATAAAAATTAAAAGCTTTTGTGCATCAAAGGATACCATAATGAAAGTGAAATGATGACCCACATAATGGAAGAAAATACTTATAAACTGTGTAATCTCATAAGGGTCCAGGAATAAAGATATACAAAAAATACTTATGTATAAATATTCTTATCAGCACTACTCACAATAGCCAAAACACAGAAAGAATCCAAATAGCCATCAACTAATGAATGGATACATTACATGTGGTTACTGATGAAATAATATATTATTCTACCATAAAAAGAAATGAAAGCTAGATACAGTGGTGTCTCAGGAGGCTGAGGCAGGAGAATCACAACCCAGGCAACCTGGGTTGCAAGGCCCTGTCTCGAAAGTGAACAAAAACAAAAAACATTCAGAACCTTCCTAAACAATACTGCTTTCTTCCTGACTAGAACAAAAGCTTTTACTTTGCATATATTATCTTCTAGCACCTTTCCAAAAAGATTTTAAGGTGGCTCAAACAAGACTATGTTATGTAATGGTTATCAAGACAGGGATAGAACCATGAAATCATGATCAAGGACTAATGAAGAAACAATGTCCCAGGCCTCAAGGTTAAGAAGGTTATTGGCTGCATCCCTGTTCCTGGTACCTAGCAGTCCTAACAGGCCTTAGTGGACCAAGTATCAGAGTTAGAGTGTAAAAAGGTATTAATTAGGTATAATTTGTCCTCCCCCAACATTTTATTATGAAAAGGTCAACCATATAAAAAAGTTGAAATAATTTTACAGTAATCATCCATATGTCCACTTTCTACCATTAACATAATTACTTTTCCTATATATCTGTCCATTTTTCTATGTACCTATCAGATTATTTTTTAAAATACATTTCAAAGTGAGATGTATTTTAGCAAATTTAGCTCAAATTTGTTTAGAAACCCACTAGAATTCAATTTAAGATTTTTCTCCTTTTGAGGTAAAAGTTATACAATGTCATGCACAAATCTTAAGGGTAGCCTCACTGAACTTTGACAAATACATAATTCAATCCCCCATTAAGATACAGAACATTATATTCATGTCAGAAAATCCCCTCCTGCCCCTTCCTAGTCATACCTTCACTTTTGAGACTGGTACATGGAAGCTCCTATGGAAAAAAGAAAAAGAAACAATAGCTACTCCAAGAGTAATTGAAACAATAGCCTAGAGAATAATATCATCTGTAACATTTATTCACCAACTTCACCTGCCCAGAGCTAGACCAATTAATGTGTTTTACTCACAACAAGACCCAGGTTTATTGTCTTTCTGTACAGATACGATCCTAACAATCTTTGTGGTCAGGTCTCCAATCTCATAGTAGATTAGGAATTATAAGTCTGAACAGAAAGAGGAGCTGCTGAAGGTATTCACAGCAAAAAGGATTCACCTGATCAGGGTGCCAACAGAAAAAGCCATAAAAAGTAGGTTAAGAATTGAAAATAGGAGCACATACCTATGGCTCTTAGCACTTGAGAGACTGAGGGAGATGACTGTGAATTTTAGGTCAGTCTGGGCTACATTTCTAGCTCAAGGCGAGCCTGAGCTATATAGTGAGACCCTGCCTGAAAAAATAAAGGACTGGAGGTGACATATGGATCAACTGGTAGAGCCCCTGCCTAGCAAGTGTGAGGCCCTGAGTTCAAACTTCAATACTGCCAAAATAAATAGATAGATACATAAACAGACAAATAAAATAAAGAACTGAAAATAGGTAATAATCTGCTGCCATTTAATGCAACCCTATGCCCCTGTCAACACTGCTCAAGTGTACCAAAGTAGAATACGGGAAATCTTTATAGTGGCCTCAATTATGTGTAAGCAGCTCCAAAGGTTTCTCACATGTTATTTGTTGAGACATGATTCTGAATAATGTGTGATGAGGCTGATGTGTGGGAAGTGAGTCAGACAGTTAGGGTAGAATGAGCTTGGCTAGTTGCCCAGCATCTACCTCTGAATTTGGCTTTGATGTCATTTACAGGTTACCACATACTCAGAGGTCAGCAAAATGATTTTTAAATAATTCTTTGTTAGTAAATAAAAATGACCTGGATTTTAAAAAGTAGGTAATGGGAGTTGATAACAGATGTGAAGAGATCTAAGAAATTGAAGGTTCTCGGCTAGAAAATAAATGTTTTAGATTAAAACATGAGTTGGTTGGAATCAGCAATATGTCAAAGCTCCCCATATGCTCTCCAAACATATAAAGCAAGAGTGATTCATGAAACTGTATTTGCTCTTGTCAAAGCAAGCATTGGATTATACAGAAGAAACCATATGCTGGAGTGGTATCTCAAAATGTGGGTAAAAGACAGAGCTCCCTAAATCCCTGCAAATCAATTACCAATGAAAACTTAAGGGCTGGAGCACTGCTCAAGTGGTAGAGCATATGCCTAGCAAGTGCAAGGCCCTGAGTTCAAATCTCAGCACCTCCAAAAACAACAACAAAAAACTTCCCAAAATTTAAATACAGCATTTTTTAATTAAAAGGTAGTAAGATACAGCATATATTTCTCAGACTCCCTACAAGGGATAAAAATAAACTAATCTTTGAAGTTTTAAGAGCTAAGTTTTGTTTATCTAGAGAATTCACTCCCATTACAATAAATAAATACATAAAATGAAAAATACCCATGTTCATAAAAAATCTGGTTAAACAGTGAGATGAGTATGATAGCTTGCTGAAGGTATTTTTTTAACCTTATCAAAAGGGTTGAACAGAATTCATATTGATAGTGAGTTCCTTCAACAATTAAAGATTTAATTTGCAAAAAATCAATTCAGTCTTTCAAGAATACACTCACTGCCATGGGTCCACTGTAGAGCACATGAGGACAGAGTAAATGAAATGAAAGAAAGCAGAGAATGAGACTGTTGGAGAGAAGGAGCAAACTTAACAGCTATTTCTAGCTTACATGCCCTAACCTTGCTTGTAATTCACAAAGGTCACAAAAAGCATCTTTGAGCATTGCTAAATTGGTGATTACTAAATCTCAGCATCTCACAGCTGTTTTTTTGTCTATTTGTGGTTAAGGGCAATTGAACTCAAGGCTTCATGGATATGAAACACATGCTCTATCACTGAACCACACCCTCAGCTCTCTCATAGTCTTCAATTTGGTATATATGAAGTAAAAAGTGGTTCAGAGCTGGAGAGTGGCTCAAGTGGTAGAGTGCCTGCCTAGTGAGGATAAGGCCCTGAGTTCAAACCTCAGACCACCCCAACACACACACACACACACACACACACACACACACACAAAGAAAAAAACAATCCACTTCTCATGCATACTGTCACTTCTTTCAGAAAAAATCTCACACATGCTTGCACAACTTTTGTTTTAAAAAAGTATACTACTTTTTTTCTTTTATTCTGCAGTTTACCTATTAAGCTAACTTCCAACTTATGGACTGTATCCTCAGAATTATTTCTTGCCCAGACCTTGACTGTATTTAACAAACAAAACCAATTGTTCAGAATTCTGTCTCCACCCCAGTCTATGCTCGGCTGGGATAGGTGCTGACATGCTCTGAAATGACCAGAAGTAGGTCAAGAGCAGGACAGCTCATCACTTAGGAGGCTCTACTTAAAGACTTTCATAGGAAGACTTCCTGATTCTTTTGGCATTACAGCCTAACTCCAAAATAGTTAGATGCTCCTTTTATAACACACAATCCAATCATAACTACACAGGGCAGACAATAGAAAACGACAAGACGGTGGTACAGTGAAGAATTAACCTCACCCAAAGATAACAGGCTTTTATTTTTTTTGGCAGTTCTAAGGTTTGAACTCAAGTGTCTCACGCTTGCTAGGCAGGCCCTCTACCACTCTGCCAGCCCTTTTTTGTGTTGGGTATTTTTGATAGGTTCTCGCGAACTATTTGCCTGGGCTGGCAGTGAGCCTCCTGATCTCTGCCTCCCAAGTAGCTAGGATTACAGGTATGAGCCACCAGTGCCCAGCAGTTCTGGCTTTTTTACTTGACTCCTAAGAGATAGTCTGTAAGCCTAGTGGAGTACCATTCCTGATAGGTGTGTCATTATTTGTCTATGGCACTGGGTTACTAGATTGTCTATAAACACATGATTTAAAACCAGGTTGACCCCACTGGATAGTCTTGGGTAGGGGCTTTGTGTCACACAGTATCAGTTGACTGCTGGAGAGATTGGATACTGAGAATGGCCATGTGGGTAGTCATCCATACTTACACAGTGGAGTCACAGTAAAAACTCTAAACACACAGACTCTAAACATCCAGCTTCTCTGGATGGCTATAACTGGCATACTGTTGCTCACTGAGGCTGAGAAAGTAATGCTGTCTTGATCCACAGGAAAGGACAAATGAAGCTCCACATTTGATAGTTTCTTGGGACCTTTCCCTGCATGCTTCTTCCCTTGGCTATTTTTAATCCGTATTGTATCTTCATAATAAAAATGCAACTATGTCTATAACAGATTTCAGTGAGTTTGATGAGTCATTCTACCAAATTATCAAGCCTTGAGGTAGTCTTGGGATCACTGAACTTGCAGTTGGTATTAGAAGTAAGAGATTATGTGGACTGTTCTAATTTATCAGTTGTCTAATAAACTCTTACAGTGGGTGTCAGAAGTGAAGACAGTCTTGTGGACTGTGTCCCTTCTAACATCTAAGTTTGCTAACTCCTTGTAACAGTGTTATTGCTTCTCTTTTTACAGTTGCATTCAATACAGCTATTTGAATACCTGCTTATCCCCACTATTAGCCTCTGAGCCTTGAGTGCTGCAACCATCCCACACCTATCCTACAACTGGCTCATAGTAGGTGTATCAGGATACATCAGTGGGATTCAATGAATCATACATAGGGATAAAACTAAAGTTATTTTGGTTCCTTCCCTCCCATAATCACCATTTTAAAGGGCAATGATGGTAATGAGTCTAGCATTATTTACCTTTGTTCTGAAAGAGCATCTGCAGGAAATAACTGATGTGCGCGAGCATGGTCCACAATCTCCTTCATGGCAGAGCTTTTCACAGGTATGAATGAAATCTTTAATAAAAATGAAAAAAGCTGGGAATGAAAATTGCCACTACTCATTTTTATACTGCCAAATTCACTATCCATATGGTCTTTCACTTCTACTCTTTCCAACTCCAGAATCAGAGTTGAGGAAAGAAAGAAGTAGTCTGTGCTTCTTCCCCTGTCCTCCCTTCATCCATTAGGCTGGGCCTTTTCAGACAAGGTCAGAACCCAGCATTAGTTATGGAATATGCTTTGGCATGCATGCTGCTTTGCCTAAATCAAAGAATAGATCTTTTGATTCCTTCTTTAGGCCCCAAGTCTCCAGATTAGATTCAGATCTTTTTAAAAATGTAGCTATGGATGATTTCACTGAAATATTCTTTTTTTTGTGGTACTGGAGTTTGAACTCAGGGCCTACACCCTGAGCCACTCCAACACTTTTTTGTGATGGGTTTTTTCAATAGGATCTCACGAACTATTTGCCTGGTCTGGCTTCAAACCACAATCCTGATTTCTGCCTGAGTAGCTAGAATTATAGACATGAGCCACTGGTGCCCAGCACCAAAATGTTCTTGACTCTGCAAGTTATTTGAGATCACTGAAGTCATGATCCATAATCTCACTGACTCAAGCTTTGTAATTCTAACAAGGTTTAGGACAAGCCTCTGGGGTCACCCAGAAGCTCTTTCTTATGGTTTCTGTATTCTTCCCATCCTGTAATTTCCAGACTCATTGTATCTTTGACTCTAACATCTGTCTGCTAAAAACAGCATGTAGTCTGTAAAGCCATACTACTCTGAACGCATCCGATCTTATCTAAAAATAGCATCTAGTTTGATTTTGGTGGTGATGCTTTTTTTTTTTAACCCAATCTGAAAAACCCTTGTTTCTAATTTGTCTAATCCATTCACATTCAGTATTATTGTTGATATAGGTGGATCTATGTTTGCCATTTTAATTTTAGATTTCTGTATGCACTATGCTTTTTGTTAGTCTATTCTTCTTTATTGCTTTCTTTTGCATTAAGTCAGTATTTTCTATAGTATACCATTTTTATTTCTTTAATAATGTTTTTCACTACACTTTTTGAGCTGTTTTCTTAATGGTTGCTCTAAGGCTTACTATAATCATCTTATCAGAATCTATTTCAGATTTAATTCTAGTGAGATATAGGAATTTTACTCCTGTAATAATTACATCCTTCTTCCCTTTTGTGCCATTATTATTTTACATACGATATATATTGCAAATTGAGAACTACACTGTTATAATTTTATTTAGGGACGTATCTATTAAAGATGCTGAGAAAAGAGAGCAAGCATATAGTTTGTTATGTTGTTCTTATTTACCATTTCTGGTTTTCCTCATTTATTCTCGGGGGTTTGAGTTACCATCTGGTATAATTTCCTTATTCCAATAAAATTTTGATCCCTTCTACCTCCTTTGTGCTAGTACCATCAGATATATTTCTGCACGTTATAGGACTACTGTATATATATTACACAAGGGCTTCTCTTTTATGCAATTGCTTTTAAAATCAGTTGGAAGAGAAAGAAATATTTATACTCTCCTTTATAATTATATAACTACTTGTACCAGTACTCTTTTATTTTTTCATATAGATTTGAAATTCCATCTGGGTTTACTTGCTTTTAACCTCCAGAATTTCTTTTACTATTTATTGTAAGAAATATCTGTCTACTAGAAGTGAATTCTCAAGTTTTTGTTGGCCTTTTTTTTTTTTTTTGGAGGATCTGAGAATTGAACCCATGGCTAGTGCATGCCAGGCAAGTGAGCTATACTTTCATTTCCTAGATATAAGATTTTTTTTTTTTGGAGAGGGGACGTTTGAACTCAGAGCTTTGAGACTGCAAAGCAGGCACTCTACTACTTGAGCTATACCGCCAGTCCATTTTACTCTGGTTACTGTGGAGATGGGGGTCTCGCAAACGATTTGCCCAGGCTGGCCTCAAACTGTGATTCTCCCAATTTCAGCCTTCCAAGTAGTTAGGATTATATGCATGAGCCATTGGCACCAGGCTAGATATAATTCTTGGTCAGCAGTTTTTCCTTTCATAACTTTGAATATGTCATCCCACTATCTTCTGTCTGTAATATGTTCTCCATTGTTTCTGATGAGAAACCCAACTGTCAGTCTTACAGAAGTTCATTTGTATGTAATAAGTCATTTTTCTCTTGCTGCTTTTAATATTTTTTCCTTGTCTTTGGCTTTCAGTATTTTTATTACATGTCTAGTGTGGATCTCTCTGTGTTTATCCTACTTGGAGGGTTTTTTTTTATATATAAATTTATTAGTATATATTCATTATACGGGGGGGGGATTCATAGTGACAATTCCTATTAGTCTTATATTGTACATTAGTTACATTGCCCCCATCGTCTCTCCCCTCCACCCCCTCCCCACCCCACTTAAAGAAATTGTAAGAGGTTTCTTAGTTCTGTTTCATATAGGTATCTGACTACTTGGAGTTCTATGACTTTCTTGATGTTTTTTCTATAAATTCAAATGCTTTTTCTTCTCATCAAAACACCTGTATCAAAATTTTGTATCCATTATTTCTCCAAATATTTTTCCTCTTCTTCTATCTCTTTCTTATATTCCCACCACATGTATGTCTATGTGCACATACATGAGGCGCTGTTCAATTTTCTTTATTCTATTTTCTTTCTGTCCTTTGGATTATGTATCTATCAGTCTATCCTCAGATTAACTGATCATATCTTCTATCAGATCAAATTCACTGAGGAGCCCTTTAATGAATTTTTTCACTTTAGTTTTTGTACTTTAAACTCTAGAATTTCCATTTGGTTCTTTTTTGTTTGTTTTGTTTTGGTTTTTTGAGATAGCATCTTTATATAGTCCAGTTTGGTCTCAACTCACAATCCTCCTGTCTCAGTCTCCTGAATGCTGAGATTACAAACTGTGTATACCACACCCAGCCATTTGGTGCTTCTGCTATCTTTATATCTTCCTTTACCTCTTTAAGCAGTGTTTCTCCTTCAATTCATTGAACATATTTATGGGTATTTTAAAGTCTTTACTAAGTCTAACATCTGGTTAATCTTACAAGTAGTTTTTGTTGCCTGTTTTTTTTCCCAGTTTCTTTGTATATCTCATAATTTTTCTTGGAAACTAGACATTTTAGCCAATATGTTATAGCAACTCTGGATATTGTTTCCCCTTTCCACCTTTATTTTTTTTTTAAATGTGTTATATATTTGTTTTGTGATTTGGCCAGACTACCTTAGTGAAGTCCATTTTCCATCCTATAGTATGAAGCTATAGGTATTATTCTTTGGACAATATAGCCTCGGGGATGCACATTCACCCTAGGATCACAGTGGTTTTAGTGAGGCTTTCTTTGACTTTATTTTTTTGTTTTCAGTGGTACTGGGATTTGAGGTAGTCTGTCCCTCCTAGTGAGATAAGATAACCCTTGACTGGGAGCTGAGGAAAGAGAAAGTCCCATCTTCTTGGCCATACTCAACAACCTGAGTGGAGGGCTGGCAGAGTGGCTCAAGTGATAAGAGTGCCTGCCTAGCAAGAATGAGGCTCTAAGTTCAAACTGTAGGACCACCAACCCCCCTCAGCCCCCGCCTCCAAAAAAAAAAAACTGAAACAAAACAAAAAACCCATCCTGAGTGGAGGTTTTGTCAAGTTAAGAAAGAGAGGATGAGTGGGGCTAAATACCACAGTCTTGCTGTTGTTTACTTAAGTTTTAGTAGATTTTCTCTTTTTCTTTCTTTTTTTTCAGATAGGGTCTCAATATGGAGCCTAGGCTGTCCTAGAACTTGAAGTCTTCCCGCATCAGCAACTGTACTGCTGAGATTACAAGGATCTGCCACCATGTCTGGCAGGTACAGTGTATTTTCTTAAATAAATTTCTCTTCATTTTGATGTATGCCCTTAAGAACAAGTCCCTGGGACATTAAATGGTTGCTTTATTATAGTTTTCCTCAACTTTGCTCATCCAGCTGGGGAGTAGAACCATGGTGATCTCCTAATACTAACCATCCTGAGAGTAGAACTGCACTCATAGTTTCCTGTACTGAAGCTATACCTCTGGGATAGAAATTTCCTACTGGATGAGATACTAAAAGACTTAAAGAAGCTTTCTAGATAGATTAGATCAACAAACTCTAGCATCACTGTTACCATTAGTCATGTTTATATTGTCTTTAAGCTCTTTAGTTCAACTCAGCACAGTTTCTCATGACAAAAATCTGCTGTGGGTACATTCTAGGCAAGCACTCTGCTACTGAGCTACACACTCACTCCTCCTGACCAAAGTTTCTGGTTTTACTTCTGAAGTGCTGTGGATTGTAGATAAGTGCTCTGACACTGAGCTATACCCCCAACTCACTGTCAAAATTTTTAATAATCCCAAGGATATTGCCCTGCTCTATTACACTTTCTGGGCACTGAAGATGGATATGTTTACACTTCCAAAAAGAGAGACTCTGATCCTTTTTGCTAAATCAAACATATACAAATACTTTTTTTTTTTTTTTTGGTGGTACTAGGGCTTGAACTCAGGTCCTTCACCTTGAGCCACTCCACCAGCCCTATTTTTGTGAAGGGTTTTTTGAGATTGTGTCTTGCGAACTGTTTGCCCGGGATGGCTTCCATCCGCCTGCCTTCTGAGTAGCTAAAATTACAGGTGTGAGCCATCAGCATGCAGTGCATGTTTTTAAATTTATTTGTTCACAGAGACAAGGTTGGACATTTCCAAAAGAATTTAAATTTCTAAGAAATTAGGAAAATACTGACCAGAAGTATATATTATTATATTATACAAAATATGCTGGGTCTGGGGACCTAAAGCAGGTGAGTGAATATCTCATCCCCCATGGAGAGCACTATGAGCCCTGCACCCTGAGGAGATACACGGTCTCATAACAGAAGGCTTTAAAGGTCATTTCCCCCAACAAGGGGCAAATAGGCCAGATTATCAAAGAAAGCCAATATGCGAATCCATGGCAAATGAAAAGAACCCACCTAACCCTTACCCTAACCCAGAGTTAAAGCGTCCATAAAAAGCCTCAGCCTTCACCTGAGCAGGGAGCCACCAGTTTCCAGGCTCCACTGCACTGCTCTAGTTGTAGCCTTCTTTCTCTAATAAATCCTACTTTGTGTGCCGACCTTGTTGTCCCACGAGTCAATCTGCTGCCTCACAAGGCAAGAACTCTCGACTGGCCCGCAACAGATACATTATTAACTAAAAAAGTGAATTAAAGTGCATATGGTACAATTGCATTTATGAAAAATCAAAAGTTAGATATCTGTAGTATAAATATATAGGCATATAAATACATAGAAGATTGGCTAGAAAGCTCTGTACTCATCAGTAGTTATCTCTGGGGGCAGACAGGAGGTGATGTGTGGAAAACAAATTTTCTTGTCTGAGGTTTTTAATACTGAGAATGCATTACATTTTCATCAAAACAATTAAGGGAAAATTTAAAAAGGAAAGGAAAAATAAGTAAAAATGAATAAATAAAAATCTGCTTAGAGGCTGGGGAAATAGCTGAGTGGTAGAGCGCTTGCCCAGCCTGTGCTAGGCTCTGGATTCCATCCCCAGCACAGGGGTAAAAATTTGCTGAGGTACAGGAATTACCTTATAATTCCTTGATCTGGTATTTATCCCCAAAGTCTGTAACTGACAGTTACTACCCTACTCTTATTCAAATGTCCTTGCAGTACTTATTTCACATTTCCCTTTTCTCTTACTGCCAATAGAATCATGTGAGCCTGAGTAGAATTTCTAGTCATTATATATGAAATTCTCACAAAACTGGCCCTTGTTTTTTCTGAAAAGGTAAGACCTTTAACATTCTTCATTTAGAAACCATCTTATATCCATTTCATAGATATATTTTCATGACAGGCAGAGAACCAAGAAAAAAATTCACTGTATTAGTACAGTATTAAAATATGAGAACAAATAATTTCTCTTGTACACATAATTTTAAAATCAGATGAGAAAAAAGTTAGAGTGCTCTGTTGATTTCTGCTTGTACTTAAAAACAATGTGAAATCTCTCTTTTTAATAAAATGGAAACCAAACCAAACCTGTCTAGTTTTACCTAAAACATACATGGTTAGAGAAGTATCTTTCCTGTTCAGTCTCAGTTGCCTACTTTCATTTTTCTAAATTCATGGCCTTTAAAAAACTCACTCAGAAGATATGTTGCTAAAACCACATGTACATATCTGACTAAGATAGGTTCAGTTAGAAACTCAGTCTATTATTTTATATCTAATTCTAACGAACCTTTTCTGGTTTCTATTTTAATCAAAAGCCACAGATTAGAAGAAAGGGGGAAGACACTAAAGACTGGCAAGCAGGTATACTAAAAGTACTGACAAGAAAATAAACAACAAAAAGCTTCAACAAGCATGTAAAACAATTCAAAGTGGTATGGCGCAAAGAGCCTAAGAAAATCTCAGCAGGCCTTGAAGGCATCATTGCATTCTGTGAAACAGGTTCATGAAAATTATGACTCTGAGTCAACTGGGGAAAACATTTACATTCATGAACCTCTGCTTAAAGGAGCGAACTTAAATTTTAGAGAAGTGTTCATCCAAATGATGTTCAATAGGTGTTATCCTCAGCTATATGGGAAGCTTAGCTATATGACATTCTTTGAATGGTCTAACTGCTGAAATTTTATTGTACTTTACAATTTTAATTCTTAAACATCCTACCCCGTTATCTTAGTATGTTTCTATTAGAGGAAAAGGCACTTAAAGACTTGCTGAACCCTGGATTAGTAAAAGTACTAATAAAACTAAGTGTTTATAGCAGAGTAAGCTGCTAAGAGGAATCCTAATGTCCCCCATGGAATAGTATCTCACCAGTTACTCAGAGTTGGCAAGAAAATACCTGAATTGGAGAGATCACTTGGGGAAGTGTGTATTTTCATAAGTATATTTTGAGGAGGAAAAGAAAACTACACATATAAGTCTGATCATAATATTTAGAAGAACTGCTGATATTACAACTGGTACTTAATACTACTTTGCAAAAAAAATGTTATTTCTGCCAAACATTTACATGGATATTTTTAAAGCCAACTTTTACCTGTGGAACCACAAGGCAGAGGCTTGCCACATACTTTTCCACATGAAGGGACAGGATCCATGCATGTTTTCCGACTACTACTTCCAAGCTCTAGCAATTGGCTGAGCGGAGTTTGGCCACAAGGGCAAAAGCGCACCAGATGGGGGAGCCGTGGGCAAGGCTGACAGGGCTGAGGGTGGCACACTTGAGAACATGTATGGCTGCCACATTTCAAGTCCCTATTAAGAAAAACAAGCTATTACATAAGTGTCACATAAAACACAGCTTTATTCTAGCTGAGGAAAATGTAAAACCTTACTTGCCACATATCTTTAAACAGCTGAAATCCCCAAATCCATCAGATTTTCCTGTGTCTGTTCCACATAACACATCTCGAGAAGTGCTGCCACAGTAGCATACTTAAAGACACAATTTCAAAAGCAACAGATTAGTGACCTGTATGTGTTCTTAAAATATTCCAAACAATCTCTAAGAAAATACAAAATGCTCTTCATTCAAGTATTGATCAGACCTGATGGTTTATATAGTAGCTCTTAGACTCACCTAAGAGCTTCACACAGGAATAAATTAAAAATGGCCTGTTACTCTGCCAATATCTCATAGTGCCTCTGAAGCACATTCTGAGAACAGCATTATTGTAAAGCAACCCCCAATTAAGGGAACACAATCCGGTCCTAAGGCCATGACAGAACACCATGGATTGGGTGGCTCCCTGGGAAGACGCCATAGAGGATGGACAAGCTGAGCTGGTAGTAGTGGTAAAGGGGTTGAGACTTGAACTTCCTATCCTCACTTCAGCATAGATTTGATAATTTATATACTGGGGTTCACATAAAATGTTAAAAAAGGTCCCTGTGACTGACAAAAAAATTAAAAATAATGAAAATAGAAAATCCTTAATAATTTAAATACTACTAATTTAAATTTGAAGTAATCATATTTGGGAATTCATACTAAGTAAAAAGTTTCAAAATGAAACTTTTTAAGGAGTTATGTTTATGATGTGTTAACATGTAACAGTCCTAAAAAGGATTCATTTTCATCAATTTACATAATTTTTCTGATAAGTATCATTTTATATGATTTATTAAAAATGAAAGCTTATAAATCTATGCAGGAATACATAATAAATGATGACCAGAAGAGTTGAAATTAAATTGAAATTTTATAGATCTAATGATAATTTCCTTTTTCCAAGGACAATTTAGGTAAACTGTAGCACAGAAAATCAACATCAGAATAAATGTAATAGTATAGGAACATATCAAATCTTAAAAATCACGTATGTAATAAATGAAACAGAATGTTTCTAATAAAACATTAGAAATAATATTCAAAAATTAAAGTGTATTAAACAGAACCCAAAATGTCCATTGACACATGAGAAGTCTCAAGTCACTGAAGACATAATCAAGAGTCAAGATTTTTAAAGTATACAACCCACCTTTGATTTCATCTCCTGTTCTAAAATTTATTCATCCATTCAATAAAAAGATACTAGATGAATTAATATATAGATATAGGAAGTGGAAACAATATTTGCCAATCAATGAGTTGGTAAATGAATCCTAGCAAATGGTGTTTGAATTCAGGAGCTTCAGGTTGTTGGGCAGGTGCTCTACCACTTGAGCCACACCCCAAGCCCACAACTGGGAGCTTCTTTGCCAAGTCTCTGCTCAAACAGAACAGAGGGATTTTTGTCAGAAGTAATGAACAGAGAGCTATGAACTGAGTTGATTAAAGGTAGGAAAATTGTGACAATAAAAACAAAATGGAGTCCCTAGTCAATAAGGAAATAACCTGAGTACAGTATCAAAAAGAGACAGAACTATGAGTTGGTGTCAACAGCATTATGAGTTAGAGCTGATGGAACAGTAATAAGGAACCAGACTGTCTGGAGGAATGACTTTATCAGCATGAATATGTTAAGCATTTTATCAACATATGAGTAAATACCCAGAAGGAGTGCCTATTAAATCTCCAGATAAGGCTGAAAGGGATCCCAGAAGAATTACCACTCAAAAAGATAAACTGCACATGTGGCCAAAATAGTTTACACATGCCTAAGGCCTAGCAACTCAGTTTAAGATTAGCCTGGGGAAGACCTGTGTGAGACCCAGTCTCAAAAAAAAACAAACCAAACCAACCAACCAACCAAACAAAAACCCACCCTAACTTACCGATCCCTTTTTCAGTTGATGGACATTTGGGTTGTTTCTAGTTTGGAGTTTTTATGAACACACATTCCTGTACTGTTGTGATGTAGGTATGCAAATACCAAAGAGTGGAATGGATGGGTTTTAGGATACATACAGGTTTAATTTTATAAGAAAATGCCACCAGATGTGGTGATACATGCCTGTAATCCTAGCTACTCAGGAGGCAAGAACAGGAGGTTCATGAGTTCCAGGCCAGCTAACGAAAAAAGGAAACTGCCAAACAAATATCCAAAGTGGTTTTACCATTTTACACATCTGCTGGCAATGTATGAGAATTCTAGTTGCTGTCCTCTGCCAACATTTTGTCATTAGTCCTTTTTATTTTAGCCATCCTAAATGAGATACCTCATTATGAGTTTGGGATTCCCCGCCCCTTCCTTTGACCCTCCCTCCTTATTATGGATTTTTGTAAGACAGTTTGATTGCAAGGTAATTCACATACCATATAATTCCAGAAAAGTTCACAAGCATTGTTAGCTGGTGTGTAGACCACTTACCCTGGTTCAGTATGATCCGACATGGCTGGCATTGACCCCCATGGCACAACTCTGCACAGTGGTGTTGACCACAGTTCAAAATATTTTCACATGGGTTAGAACAGTGGACTGAAACAGCCTGACCACAGCGAACTGTGTGCCTATAAAGATAGTAGATATAAATACAACATCATTCTAAAAGTTCCTATTGTATAGATAAACTAACACTGAACTCCAAGCCATCCCAAGGTTTTCTATATCTTCTTTCTTCAATTTTTTTTTTTGGTGGTACTGGGGTTTTAACTCAGAGGTTCACACTTGTAGGTAGAGGCTCTACCAATTGAGCTATAGCTCCAGTTCTTTTTACACTGGTTATTTTGGAGATAGATAGGGTCTTGCTTTTTGCCTGGACTGCAATCCTCCTACTTGTACTTCCTGGACAGTTGGGATAACAGGTGCATACAACCACATCCAGCTAAGACAGATAAGATGGGGATGGGGTCTTGTGAACTTTTTGTTCAAGCTGGTCTTGAACTGTGATCCTCCCAACCTCAATACTCCCAAGTAGCTAGGATTATGGGTGTGAGCTCTTTCCTTCAATTATTATTTCCTTTTTCCTTCTCCACATTTTCTTTCTTTCTTTTCCTCTTTGCTCTTATTTCCCACCCTGCTTTTCTCTCTCCTCTGTTTTCTGATCCTTGATGAACTGAAGGCTATTCCTGAGAATTTGTCTATGTGATTTCCTTTGAGTTCAAAGAAGCAGCTACAGGAGAGCAAAGAGCTCTGGGATGAGGAGGCAGAAGATCAGGTTCTAGTCCTAGCTTTGCCTAGAGCTCTCACAGTACACAGTACCTTATAGACAGGAGAGGGAAGACAGCAAAATATACTCAGATCTGACCTACTCAGATTGAAAGCACAATGGCATTTTCTTGAAACTCAGCCCATTCATATTTTATGCAGCTATAATACTTAGAACATACTAGATATGAATTTGATTCATGGTAAGGAAATCATTCCAGCTTTGCTCTAATAAGCATCCTGATTTTGCAGACTTATTGGCTTTTAGACACTGCCTTCAGGTCTGTTTCCAGGGTAATGGTTTAGTGTCTGAAGTCTACTCCCCTACAGGAGGAGTTTTATTCAATCCCTTACTCCCATCTCAACTACATTTATTTCTTGCAGTGCTGGGACTTGAACTCAGGGCCTACAGCTTGAGCCACTCCGCCAGCCCTTTATCGTGACGGGTTTTTTCAAGATAGGGTCTCTCGAACTATTTGCCCAGGGATGGCTTCGAACCACGATCCTCCTGATCTCTGCCTCCTGAGTAGCTAGGATTACAGGTGTAAGCAACCAGTGCCCGGCTCATATTTTGTTTTTAAAAGTCACTGTTATATACATGGATAATCAGTGTGCAGCACTCAGCATAATGGCTACTGTTGGCCTATTATGCTACAATATGTCTAGAACAATGGCTATTTAACATCAGCCTTTGAGGTAGACAAAATTATTTCTATTTTATGATAAAAAAAATGAGGTTTAGTGAGCAACTTACTTGCCCAGGATCAAACTGGCAGAACTCAGATAATGACCTTCTGACTCAGAAATCTCAGGCCACAAGGATACAAATGCACATTACTGAAAATATGCATGATCCCATCTTGTCTCAGGGTTCAAAAATAATTTTAAGACCTTCCTGGGCCTCACAGGCACTTCATAGTCATCAGTGATCCTTGTACTGATGATGCAGGAAAATGTGTATTTTAACAGAAGGAAGGTGGACTCTAGGATTACTTACTTTTGCATGCAAAAATATTCACTGAAAACCTCCTAGATACTATGTTAGGCATAGAAAAATGGTCCCTGCTTCCTAGTCCTAACAGGCCTGGGTTCAAGTCCTGGTTTTGTCACTCACTAGAGATATTAAAAAAAAAAAAAAAAAATCCCTGTAATTTTGACAGTTCACCTGAAAGGTTAATGCTACAATCTCACTGTGTATACTTAATAACTTATAAGACTACAAAATGTAGCTGGGCGTCAGTGGCTCATGCCTGTAAACCTAGCTATTTGGGAGGGTGAGACTGGAAGGACTGATGTACAATGCCAGTCAGGGCAAATAGTTCTAGAGAGCCCGTCTCCAAAAATAATCAGAGCAAAAACAGACTGGAGGCATGGCTCAAGCAGTAGAGCACCTGCTTTGCAAGTGTGAAGCCCTGAGTTCAAAGCCCAGTAACCTACCCCCCAAAAAAATTGCAAAAGAGGTATCATAGGAAACTACAATTTATAGGAAATTACTAAATTCTACCAAAAGCAGATAAACAATTTTTTTAATTGTCTGTATTGACCATGTAGAGACATTTTTCTTGTCATTATTCCCTAAACAGTATAGAGTACCAATTATTTACACAGCCTTCACGTTGTATTAGGTAATATACATAACATAGAGAGATTTAAAGTATACTTCAGAAGATATGAATAGGTTATAAGCAAATACTATGCCATTATATAAGGATGGAACATTTATAAATTTTTATCCTCTGAGGTCCTGAACAAATCACATGGATACCAAGGGATGACTTTATTTACACCTAACATTTATTTGTATCTACTTACTAATCTTTTCACAAGTTAATAATGCATGTAAAAACTGAGGTTTTCTTTAACTTTACCTGGTCCGTCCACATTCACATGTTTTAGTCATAAAAGCTGGGCAAGGTGGGCAGGGTCCAGGATGGCACAAGCTGAAAAAGAAAGATTTTAATGACTTAACCACACCCATGCACTCAAATTAAAATAAAGCTGCCTCAACTGGGTCCTATTATGAATATGGCAACAAATAAACATAGTATGAAATATCTTAGTATTTCTCTAAACTTGCTTAAACTATTTAAACAAAGAAACCAATTCATTTTTATGTAGAAAAAACTGACAGCATTATCATCTTAGAGTCTTAAGGAAAAACACTGGTTTTATTTGGGTCTGACAGTCAAAGATGACATTTTCAGATATGGTCTTGATCCACTTATAGTAGAATGTGGGGATAAAAACAGCTTGCCTCTCTTGATGGTAGAGTGCTTGCACGTGGTAGACCCTGGGTCTGACCCCCAGCACCTCTAAAAAGATGAAGGACGGAGGTGGGAAAAAAAGAGAGGCTGGGCATGATCAAGCAGATCTGTAATCCTAGCACTAGGGAGGCTGAGGCAGGATGATCATGAGTTTTAAGTTCAGTCTAGGCTACCTGTGAGATCCTGTCTCAAAAAAACAAAACAAAAACAAAAACAAAAAAACAAGGGGGAGGGAGGGAAGGAAGGAAGGAAGTTAGGAAGTTACGAAGAAAGGAAGTAAGTTCATGGGAAGTACAGATACTTCCTTGTCAGCTAGTAAACTAACAACCAGCAATAGGCTAGCAATGGGAACACTAAAAAGGTTGACATGAGGGTGGAACTTTGGTAAGGAACATAAGGAGAGAAGAGGCAAAGAATCATGGGAAAAACTGAGCTTAGTGACATGCTACGGGTCAGAAGTAGACTTCTGAAGAGAATGCTTTTTATAGGAACTATATTACAGAGACCAATAGAAAAAAAAATCACAAAATGAAATTTATATATTCAGATAAATACTGTCTTCTTCTAAGCAGACACCCTGGTAAACTACACACTGGTTCAGAAATGCTATCACTTACATTTTTGAACTTGTGCAACTTTTTTTTTTTTTTTTGCGGGAGGGGGTAGCATTCTAAGTGATGGCAAAGTATAATCCTTAGGGAATTAAAATCAATCTGAGGCAAGTCTAATTAATCACACAGGTTATAAAATTTAATGTAAAAAACCAAATGTGCCTTACATAGTCTGACTGGGATTTTTAGTTTTATATGTAACTCCCAAACCAGTTCTGGAAGGTTTAAACAAAGTTTGAACAGTATAAACAATCCAGAAACAGGGGCAGAGTCTTCTAAGGTAACTTGATTTCATAGCTAGTAACCATAGGAGACATAAGTATAAGAGTATTTCTTTAAAGATGAGTATTATTATTCAATGGTTATTTCACATGATATGCCTCAACCTTTTCAGATGGAACAATTTAAATAGCTTTAGTACCTGCTTTGGCAGCACATACTATAAAACTGCAATGATTCATGGTCCATGTCTAAGGATGACACCCAAATTCATGAAGTATTCCACATTTTTTTTGTGAAAGACTAAACTGAGAAGACTCTATCTTTCTACACCAAGAAAAGGGGTCACTGGAAACTGGAGAGTATGGGAGAAGACTTAAGAGTAGGAAGAGCTGGAGAAAAGGATCTCCAAATTTTGGATATGTAATGACATAACTGTTGGTCTCACCCCTGACTGGAAATTTATATAACAGCTCCACCAAACCACAGTAAAGGCTTTGAGGACTGAATGACAATATAAATTATGACTCAAATTTCACACTATTCTCTGAGTGGAGCATACATCATGCTGATCCATATAACATGGAAAGGACTTGGAAAAAAGAATGAGATTGGGACCATCAACATTGAAAGTGAAATTTCTTGGCAGTCTGAATCTAATCACATTGACTATCTGTTTAAACAAAATGAGCATTCTCCAGGAGATTATAGTAGGACCTAGAAAGTTGCCAAATAAATTAAAGTGTCCTGAATACAATTCAAAAATATGTGACATAATAAGAATCAGAAAAATTTGACAAACGTTTAAAGAAAATATGGTAGATGCCAAATACAAGATGATCTAAGTCTTGGAATTGTCAAAGATTTTGAAGCAGTCATTATAACCATTCTGTATGAGATGATGCTAACACTTTTGCTCTGGGTATTTTGGAGAGAGAGTCTCACTTTTTGCCTAGGCCAGTGGCACGGACAGCAATTCTCCTATTTTATGCTTTGCACTATGGCTGGTTTGATAGGCATGTGCCGCCATGGTCAGCTTTCCTCCCCTCCCGTTTAGATGGTATCTCATGAATTTTTTTTGCTAGGGCTGGCCTGAAACTGCAATCCTCCCAGGTAGCTAGAATTAAAGGAGTGAGCTAACCATGCTGGGCTGAAGTTAACACTTTTTTTTTTTTTTTGCAGTGCTGGGGTTTGAACTCAGGGCCTACACACTGAGCCACTCCGTCAGCCCTTTTTTGTGATTTTTTTTTTTTTTTTTTTGAGATAGGATCTCCTGAGCTATTTGCCCAGGTTGGCTCCCAACAGTGATCCTCCTGTATAGCTAAGATTACAGGTGGGAGCCACTGGTGCCCAGCTGAAGTTAATACTCTCAACACATAAACTCTCAGCAAAAATACAGGAATAAAATAAATCACCAAATAAAAATTTAGGAACTGAAAAATATCTGCAATTAAAAAACAGCCTCTAATGGTAATGAGAAAGGAAAAAATTCCAGTGGAATTTAAAAAATGTGAAGAGCAGAGAGAGAGAAAAGAAAAAAAAGATGGAAAGATGGACAGAGTCCCCAAGTCTACCACAACAGTATCACCAGGTCTAATCTTTGTGTCTTTGGAGATCTCAAAGAGACTCTAGAAGGGAAAGAGTTTATCTCTAAGATTTGAACTCAATCTAAGGTTTTCTTAACTTTTAGCAGTGTTTTGCAATACTTGGCTGGAATCACCTGGAGAGCTTTTAGTACTCCAGAGGCAGCGTGGGATGTAATTCATTGTTAAAGTACTTTTCTAGTATATTCAAGGCTCTGGGTTAGATCTACAGCACCATAGAACTAACAACAAAAACAAACAAAGCAAAACAAACAAAAGCCTTGTGGAGGTTCAGAATCTACCAAAAGAGAATCTGATTCAATTGCTCAGAGATGGAGACTCAGTATTGGTGTTTTAAAATGATTCTAATATGTAGCCAGGGTAAGAACTACTGCTATAGAATTTTATGAATAGGGGAACAACCCAAAATGGAGAAAGTGGTCAACTGTGCCTTCTAGTCCTGGTAAGTATAAAAGGGCAGGTTTTAGGGCATCCATTCCTTTCACACATGGTACTATCTGATCTGTACCACTTTTGATGTTCTCCGAGTCACAACCAGGGTCCATTTCTGCAAAAACTTTGGAAAGAGTGTTTCTTATTACTAAATTTACTTAAAATGCAAGCTATAGGAAGGAATAATTTAAGTAAGTAAGTCCCTGAGGATGGACCCAAGCAAGCAACCATGGACAGGGAGCAGCTACCTGCCTAGCAGATTGCAAACCATCCTGCTTGTTAGCTTACTATGAAATAGCCCAATTCCACTGACCATTCCCCAGCACTACCACCCCAGTTCCATATAGAAGAAGTTGTGTTTTGCTCTTAGATTTGAGTAATAAAGCAAGAATTACCACTGTTTTGATTACTTGGCAGACTCTGTACCAAACCTCTGAGGTACATTAAATTCATTTAATTTTCATAGGACTTTCTGAGGTAATATTATTCAGATCATTATTATTTTACGAATGCAGAAACTCAGGCTTAGAGAAGCTAAATAACTTGTCTAAGGGTCACATTACTACTTTAGTGACTCTAATCCAAGATTAAAACCTTTGTATGAAGTCAAAGACTGTAGAAATTTATTTGTAACTGATCAACTGTTTTTTTATGAGTATGCAGTTTTCTTATCATATAGAAGCCAGTAAGAGGGACTGAAGGCATGGCTTAAGTGGTACAAAAGCATCAGGCCTTGAGTTCAAACCCCAACACCAACTAAAAAAAAAGGGCAGCAACTAAGATACACTCAAATGCTGGCTATTATAGGGAAGAATTCACATTCTAAAAATACTGTCAGATAGGATGCTACATCATGCGTTTTCCCAGGCTGTCCTATACACTCTCTTGGACCTGGATATCACTGGGGGATAAACTATCTGAATCTTTGTGTGTATGTGTAACTCAGGGACCTTAAGCCACTCAACCAGCTCCTTTTGTGATGAAGCTTTTTTCAAAATAGGGTCTCATTAACTATTTCCCCGGGCTGGCTTTGAACTGAGATCCTCTCGATCTCTGCCTTCTGAGTAGTCAGGATTACAAGCATGGGCCACTGGCACCTGGTTGAATCTTCTTTTTAGAAGTCAGCTATGTAATACAGTGAACTGGTTTTGGAAACTCCAGTCCCATCATGTCCTAGCACTGTGACTCTGGCAAGATGCTTGGCCTTTCTGAGTTTCATTTATAAAGTGAGGCTCACTGAGCTGTGGTATGAATTCAACAAGCTAACTTATGTAGAGTGCCTGGTACAGAGTAAGTGCTCAGTAAATGTTACCTTATTACTCTTCACCCCATCCTGTTACATGCTAACCAGGTATGTTTATTCAAAGCTACCAGCAAAGCATGTCTACCAGGAATCCCCAGAGGTCTAGCATTCCAACTTACAGGTTACAGGAATGTGGGCAGTCCTGGCCAGGCTGCTTCTTTCTACAAACCTCACCACAACTATGTGGAATTTCATTTCTGCTCCATTCAGGATTCTTTACCTTGCCTAAAACATATCAGATCAAAGAGTTAATGCTACAAATTTCAATTATGTCCTCGACTTATTACCTAGAAAAGACAAAAAGTTATTTTTATTTGTAAAAATGCCATTTTCATTAATAAACACAATCTGTCTTTAATCTATGATAAAAACCTAATAGATAAAAATTCTGTAAATGAGCCCTGGACTGATAAAGGATTATCTGTGGTAAGAATCAGAATGAAATAAGGGAAGAGGGCTGGGAATACAGTTCAGTGGTAGAGGCCTTATTTAAAATGCACCATGTCCTGGGTTTGATCCCCTGCACAGGAAGGAAAGAAGGGAGGGAGGAAGCACTGGGTGAAAAGGGAAGAAGCTGTAAGATAGAAAGGACATAAATCCCCTAAACAGTAGGAACTCACCTATTCTAAAGGTATAAAGTCATAAAAGGGATATTATTTCATAAATCAATGTCACTGCATAAAGCCTTACTGAAATCCTCCTTGGATTTAGCACAGAGGTAGAAAGAGTAAAACCCAAGTCAGAGGACTCTTCCTTGCCCTTGAGGAATCTGTCCTAACTTAGGCACTCTAGAAGGGAAATGATAGCCATCCCAAGCCTTTGCTTCTGCTTTTTTCTCTATATGCTTTCTTTGGGAAATTTTATTTATATTGGGAGTTTCAAAACACCTAAAGATCAGTGATTCCCAAATCTGCATTTTCTACTTTGCCTGCCCTAAGACTTCAGTCTCAGTCTCACATGTCCAACCACCTGCTGAATATCTCTGCTTGGGGTTTCTTTCACCTCAAACTATCTACAGCCAGAGTTTACATCTTTCCTCTAGAGTCCCTCCCTCTTCAGTGTTCCCTACTTCTGTCAGTGACACCATCACTGTCAATCACGCTCATTAAAACTATAGTCATTGCTGACTCCTCTTTTTCTTTCCACATTTTTTAGTTACTAAGTCTTGTCAAGTTTTCCTACAGTATCTCTTACCTCATCTCCCCTCCTACTCTTGCTCTTACCTTACTACTAGCCAAAACCTCATCTCCAGACTATTACAAAAGCTGCTTTTCTTTCTTACTCCAATAAAGTGATCTGGTTTTGCCCTAACATTTTTTATGGTTCTACCTCTTTTCCCTGAGTCAAAATGATGTCTTTGTTGTCTTTTCCCTGCCAGGATTCTGTTACACCCGTTTCTTACTCCTTACCTTTTTATCTACTAGGGTCTCAACTACTCCTTCTCAACTGCAACTACCATCCTGAAGTCCTCACATCTCTTTAAATATCCCTACCCGCCCACTGGACATCTCTCACTGGATGTCATCCATTCCTTAAACTGACTTATAACCTGAACCCATTGTCCCCACAAAACCTGGTGTTCTCGCTCTCTCTTTTTTTTCTTTTGGCAGTTCTGGGGTTTGAACTCAGGGCCTCACACTTTCTAGGCAGGCACTCTACCACTTGAGCCACTCCACCAGGCCTTTTTTGTGTTGAGTGTTTTCAAGATACGGTCTTGCCAACTCTTTGCCCATGCTGACCTCAAAACTTGATTCTTCTGATCACTGCCTCCCAAGTAGGTAGAATCATAGGCATGACCCACTGGAGCTGAATGAACCTAGTCTTCTTGACCTACCTTTTCTCTGGTAAAATCATTTCCTTTCACACTTAGGTTGTCCCCTTCTCACTGCTGTTAATTCCTGTTTATTTCTGAAATCTTTACCTTTTCCTTTCCATTCTACTCATCATAGATTCTTACTATTCTTTATTTGATTATATGTCCCCAAACTGTTTAAGCTTCAAAATACTCTCATGGCCAACAACTAATCTCCACAAAAACTGACATTCTAGTCAGGTGTGGTAGTGTGCACCTGTAGTTCCAACACTTGGGAGTCTGAGGCAGGAGGATCACTTGAGCCCAGGAGCTCAAAACCAACCTGACCCAGCACTACTAAAAAAAGAGAAAGAAAATTGATGCTCTTAGTGACTTCAAATGAAGTTAAAATATTTAAGCCTTGAATCGAAGGCTTGGCTTTACCTTTCTAGTCATCTTCCCAGTCATTTCCTACTCCTCCACCATCATACAGGCTGGGCTCTGTAATTGGATAACTTCCTTCTCTCCCAATAGAAGCCTTACTGTTTTTGAACTTCTGCTTATACTATTTTCTTCAAAAAAATGTATCTACCAAGATTTTACCTAGTTTTCATGCCCAGTTCAATTCTACCTCCTTCACAATGGCTTCCCTTAATCATCCAGCCAGATGTCATAACTCACCCCAAAAACTTCCCATAGTACTTTGCATTTCTAGTAAAACATCAGTTAACTGTGTCTTTTTGTTTCTTCATTTGTTGAGACAGGATCTCACTATGAAGAACAAGTTGACCTTGAACTCATAATCCTCCTGACTTAGCCTCCCGAGGACTGGGATTAACTACATCTTAATTCTTAGACTATAAGCTCTGGAGAAGTCAATCAATAGTCCATTTCCCTGTTTCTTCAAAACACCTGGTACATTCATAAATTCTCAGTGAAATTATATTAAAATTAATGATATCATGAAAGAAGAGTATGGGTCAAAGCATAAGGTAAATAAAGCCTTTATCTGCATTCTCACATTATTTTACCTCCTAGATTATCTTTACCTTCATTCCACACTTTTATACCTTCTTAGAGTCTTTTATATAAGCCTTTAACAAGATTTTTAATTATACTGCAGTACTTTATTTAAATTTTGTTTAAAGTAATTAAGTCTTAGTGTTCTTCTACTTGCCCAATTTTCTATTGATCTCTTATTTCCAGTTTTATGCTGCCTTTCCGGTACTATATTCAAGACTATTCATTCCTGACTGGAGGTGTGGCTCAAGCAGCGGTAGAGCACCTGCTTTGCAAGTTCAAAGCCATGAGTTCACACACCCCAGTACCACCACAACCACCCCCCCAAAAGAATATTCATTCTCTCAACTAATACCAATTTAGTATCTAGTAAGGCTTGGATTTTGGCAATAAAACATATAAGATCAACCGATTCTGAACAAAAGAGAGGCCAAAATAAGAAAGGGTAACAAAAAGAAGGGTGACTGGTAATAACAGCTTAGTAGCAGAGTGCCTGCCTAGCATGTATGGGTTTGAGTTCCAATACCACCAAAAATAAGAAAAGAAAGAACATTTTGACAGTCAATGAATTCAACAAAGGACTGAATCTAGAAGACAAACAGTTGATGGTCAATAACCAACTTTTGGTGAAAACTACTAGTTAAATAATGGAAAGAATATGAGCAAATTGGTTAGAAAACCAAGGAGAAAGGATTGGTTGTAAAGCATATGCCTAGAAAACTAAGGAAAGTATGTAAAAAAGGAATAGGAAATGCTAATCATGTCAAGAAAGAAATGGTCAAAGCTGTCAAGGGTGGACATGTTGCAAAAAGGTTAAGAATCTGTTAATCAGACCCATGCAGGCCAGGGAGGGATCACTGATGGCTAAGAATACAGTTTCATTGAGGCAAAAAGGAGAGAAGCAAAAAATTCAATGGTTCAAAGAGGGAGACAAATAGTTAAGAAACAAAAGCTGAAATATTAACTAGATGAAGATTAGTCATTAAAGATGAGAAAGACATACAGGAAATAGGCTAGCAGTAGGAATGAGCTCACTCACACTGTCTGAATCAGAAATATCAAAGCTGTTACAGTTACAGCTAAAAGGGAGACACATCAACACCTGCCTCTGCCACCTTGTCAGCTGTGGTCTCAAGCTAAGACCAAGAAGGCCCATCTCCACAACAGCATGGCAAGAGCACAAACGCCCATGACTAACTGTGTGGTGGACCACATGAGTATGGTCTTCTAGACTCATATCTTTGAAATCTTATTAGTAACCTCTAAAACAAGATGAGCAGAATACCTTTGCTGGACTGAGCACTGAAGTACAATGCATGAAGTGAAAGACAATCCAGTGTATGCAAACAAACTTACCACAGAAACAAGTGTAGGTATTAGGAACATGTGCAGAAACATTTTGACAGGCAGGGCACCTCCAACCACTCTGGCCATCTGTCATAAAAATGAGAGTATGTCAAATAAATTTTCTTCTAGAAGCACAAGTAAGACTCAGAAGTAGAGTGTATGCTTTACTAGGCTTAGGCCCCAGCACCCCTGCCCCAAAGAGCACAAGAAATTTTTTATTTTAATTTTTTTCATATGTGCATACAATGTTTGGGTCATTTCTCACACACACCCCCACCGCCCCCTCCCTCCCTTATCCCCCACCTTACCCCTCGTTACCCAGCAGAAACTATTTTGCCCTTATCTCTAATTTTGTTGAAGAGAGAGTATAAGCAATAATAGGAAGGACCAAGGGTTTTTGCTAGTTGAGATAAGGATAGCTATACAGGGAGTTGACTCACATTGATTTCCTGTGCATGTGTGTTACCTTCTAAGTTAATTCTTCTTGAACTAACCTTTTCTCTAGTTTCTGGTCCCCTTCTCCTATTGGCCTCAGTTGCTTTAAAGTATCTGCTTTAGTTTCTCTGCGTTGAGGGCAACAAATATTATCTAGTGTTTTAGGTGTCTTACCTATCCTCATATCTCCCTTGAGCACAAGAAATTTTTAAATACTTAATTCTATAGGAAGTCACACTATTGAGGCAGAGACAATAATTTCAACATCGATTACATCAGATATTTAAGAAACAAATTCATAAAACAAAATGTTTTGCTTAAATACTGCATTTGGGCTTATATTTGAAAGGACTTTAAGATACAGTGAATCAAGTAGGTATATCCATGTTCAACTATGCCTAGTATCAACATTATCTGAATCTTGGCTTGAAAAAAACCAGAATAAGCTATTTGAGTATATGTAGGAAAACCCAGATGTTCTGAATTAGAGAGCCACAGTTCAGTCAGGAAGCATTAATAGTAACATTTGCATCATCCGTAAATACTAGTATATGTTGGGAAAAGCCTAAATATACTATAGAGATTTGTGAAAGGCAAAAACAACTTCAACATCCTGAGGGAAATTAAACAACTGCTTTATATAAATTTTAAAGTGAACTATATAATAATTGCTTTCTATAGTTGACACTTTGGTGAAAGCTATAATTTTCAATAAAAATTTTACCATATTCCATAAATATTTTAATTTTGTTATATTTAGATGGTTTAAGATCTACAGTTTAATTCTGATCATCTGAAACATGTGATCAAGGCAACATACACTACTTGCAAATAAAGTATTTAATAGGATTTAGATAGTATCTTTAAGGCTACATTTATAACCCGAATGAGAATGTAAGTATTTAAGAAGAGAGAAATAACGACCTGCTTGAGATGCTGGAGACCTTGCCCATTTCTTTATGCAGTTAAGATGAAATACATGATAGCAGCTCTGACAACTCCACACCGGAGCTGTGACGCGAACCAATTCACAGCATACCATGCACTCATATTTTTCTGTTGTTAGTTGTTCAATCAGAGAACCTGTTTAAAAGACAGAACAAAAGAGAGAAAGAAACTCTTTTCCTTGCTTTAATTAATCAAGGATTAAGTCATTTGGGAAGAGAATCTAAATGCAGACTTTAAGGGATATTTGCTTCTGAGTAAGATGTCTATTCAGATTTTGTGGCAAGGAAGGGGCAGGAATATGCTGAACTAAAGGAGACATTTAGGTGAGGATTCCTATAACTGAGGAAATATTCCCAAGAACCTGCCCAGGAAAATATCAGAGTAAACATATACTTCTCATAACACAGCTAGAGCATCCTTGGGATGCTATTGTTTTTCAGGTCCAAATAAGTTAAAATAAAATCACACATTAAAAAAAATAAATAAAATCACTGAACTTAAATACAAATACTGTGTTAAAACACTTTATACAGTTTACTTAATTCTCTTAACAAGGCTGCAGCACATGTACTATTTTACAGGTGAAGAAATTGAGGTTCAGGGCAACCTCTTTCCATTTCATGTGGGAGCTTTGCTCTTAATAAACTTCTTGTCTACAGTCAAAGAAAAAAAAAAGTTACTGAAGCCCAGAGTACACAGACTGATTACACAAGTCACATAAAACTAGAAACTTTAAAATTCAAATTTATCAATATCTGACTCAAAAACTCACATTTTAATCATTCTATAATACTGTTTCTTCTAAGTTACTGTAATCCCAGCTACTTGGGAGGTGGACACAGAAGGATCACCAGTCCCAGCAATGTTGGCAAGATCCTTTCTCAAAAACAAAGTAAAGTAAGGGATTAGGGGAGGGAGTCATAGCTCAAGCTCAACTGGTAGGCAAGCTCAAGGCCCTGGATTAGTACAAAAAAGAAAAAAGAAAAAAGAAAAAAGAAGGAACATCCTGAGACTATAAATTCTGTGGACAAGGGCAAGGCCAAGTGACCTTGTTCAAGATAGAACTTCCAGTGTCTACCAATAATTACAAAGTGAATGAAGGGATAAAGGCATCTGCCTTCCTAGTGATATCTAGTATGTTTCCTAACTTCTTGTCCTGAAAGTTAAGGCTTTACCAAAGTTTTTGGAATAGCTCTCCCCACCTAGGGAATGCCTGGAATAAAGACACTTAGTGTAGCTGATTAAAGGGAAACCTAAAGCTGGTGTGGCAGTTCTTGTCTGTAATCTGGCACTCAGAAGCCTAAGGCAGGAGGATTGCAAGTTAGGGGCCAACCTAAGCTACACAGCAAGACCCTGTCTCAAAAACTTAAAATAACAAAACCCTGCCATGGGATTGGTAGCACAGCTCAAGTGGTAGAGCAGTAGGGCACCTGCCTAGCAAGTGCAGGGCCCTAAATTCAATCTCCAGTACTACAAGAAACAAACAAAAACACTCTGCCGCAACATTGCTTTGCTTCACATGCATATTGAGGTCCCAAGAAGGATTGCTTGATGAAGCAAGCAACTAGAAGAACTACAGACGAGTTTAAAAACAAGTACTGGGGCCAGGCACTGGTGGCTCACACCTGTAATCCTAGCTACTCAGGAGGCAGAGATCAGGAGGATTGCAATTCAAAACCAGCTCCGGAGGAATAGTTCATGAGACCCTATCTCAAAAAAACCCATCACGAAAAAGGGCTCACAGAGTGGCTCAAAAAGAGCTTCTGCCTAGCGAGCATGAGGCCCTGAGTTCAAACCCCAATGCCGCCCTCCTCCCCTCAAAAAACAGGTAATAGGGGCAGAAGGAGTGGCTCAAGTGGCAGGGTGCTGCCTAGCAAGTACAAGGCCCTGAGTTCAAGCTCCAGGACTTGAACTCAGGGAGCTGGAGAGGAACGAGCACTGAGCAGGGGATGGCAGCTTCATGGGCCATGCTATATCACCCTAGTCTGGCCTCAAACTCATTATGTCTATCCCAGGATGACCTCCAACTTACAATCATCTGCTGATCTGCCTCAGCCTCCGAGTGCTGAGGTTATATGCAACGCACCACCACACCTGGCTATTTAGCCTTGATATGATTTACATGCAGAGGCAAATAAGGGATGTCTTCAAAGAGTGCAAGAGGCTGATTTGAAATGAGGAAGGGACTGGAGGTGTGGCTCAAGTGGTAGAGTACCTGTTTTGCAAGCCCTGAGTTCAAACCCCAGTCCCCTCCACCCGTGCCCCCCGCCCCCAAAAAAAGAAGCAATGAAATGAGAAGGGAAACTGTGAGGACAGACTGGTTGCTATGCTGCTCCAGAGGATAAAACCCAAAAAGCACAGAAAGTATAAGAAAGAAGTTTTCAGTTCAAGGTAAGGATGTAGTGTCTCAACAGTCAAAAGGACACAGCTACTTGTTTAAATGCAGGACGATTACAAAAAAAAAAAAGATACAGTATTTGCTTCTAACTGGTTTATAGACTAGGGGAGGTTTATAGACAAGGGGATACATAAATTATGGTTTCCAGTGTTAAATTCTGAAACAGAAACATGTATAAATAACAGAAAGGGGCTGGAAGAAATGAACGCTATCTATAAAGATGAGTAAAGGTAATTAATATGTAACTAGCTTTTGAAACATCAAAAGAATTTACCAGTGAGGAACTGGGCACGGTAGTACATGCCTACCATCACAGCTACTTGGGAGGTGGAGATGAGGAGGATTGAGGTTCAAGGCCGACCTTCAGCGAAAAGTTAGTGAGACCCCCCCATCTCAACAAACGAGCTGGTAATTCCATGGAGAGGCATAGGTAGAAGGATTTATCTGGGCAAAAAGCAGGAAACCTTATCTGAAAAGTAACTAAAAAAGGCATCAAGGGCTGGGAATGTGGATCAAGTCGTAAAGTATTTACCTTGTAGGCATGAGGCCCTGAGTTAAACTCCAGTATTGCCTCCCTCTCCACAAAAAAAATCACCAGTAATATAGGAACTCTATGCAGAAAGAGTTGAATACAACAGCACAGAAAGGCAAAACAGTATAGAATCCAGGAAATAAAAATGGTAGAAACTGAAGCAACAGATGAGAGATTGTTGAGAAAAGTAGAAGCCAGAGTCTGCAGGTGATGAGAACCAGTAAATGGAAGTAAGCAAGGCAAGCACAGAGTTCAAGATGTATTTTAGATGAGCTGAAAAAGGGAAATTAAGAGATGGTGAGACAGTTAGGAACTGCTGCAACTGAGCAGACAGATAAGACAAGGCAGAATGAAACCAGCAGAAGCAGTAGACATATCATCATCCCGTTTCTGCTTTCACAACTCAAAAAACTCATTTAACTATTATCTGCATTATTTATTTATTTATTGAAGATCTGGGGTTTGAACTCAGGTCCTCATGCTTGCTAGGCGGGTGCTCTTAATGCATGAGTCACTCAACCAGCCCTTTTCTTGTGATGGTTTTTTTCTAGATATGGTCTCACCAACTATTTGTCCAGGGCTACCTTTGAAGTGCAATCCTCCTGATCTCTGCTTCCTGAGTAGCTATGATTATGGCACCTGGCACCTATTATCTGCATTTTCAAAAACTCTTTAAAAGTACCTTATTTGGGGGAAAAAAAAATCCTTGTTTTTATTTGCTTAGGATAAATATAACACCAATTAAGTGGTTACCTCCTAGGAAAGAAAACAATGGGTAGTAGCAGAACCAACGCAGATGGTAAATTAAGATAGAAAAAGAGAGCTGAGGGAGTAGCTCAAGCAATAGAGTGCCTAACTAGTAATGTGAGGCCCTGAGTTCAAACCCCAATGCTGCCCAAAAAAAAAAAAAGAGTCTGGGTGTGTGGATTAAGTGGTAGAGTGTTTGCCTAGCAAGCACCTTAAGGCACTGAGTTCAACCCCAGTACAGCCAAAAAAAAAATAAAATAAAACAAGATAAAGACTTTTTAATATGCTAATTAAAAACAGAAGAAAAGAGACTTCACTGTGTACCTTTTAATATTTCTGGTTTTTAAATTATGTGAATATATTACTTAAAAATAATATCTAAAAATATATTTTTACCCATTTAGGCATTTACCTGTATGTGTTTCCACATTCTTCAGCACATGGTTCTGTTTGCCTCGAAGGATAGGGGTTATCACTTGAGGGTCCTGCCTCCTTACAGCATTTTTCTCTTGGTCAACCCTTCTGGAAGATTTGTTGATGACTGCCAAATTCCCCCTGTCACAGGCTGATTTTGTTGGTCTTTCACTGAGATTATCCTTTGGTATGGAAGCCATGTTGTTTTTGGGTCCTGTATTTATACATGTCGTTGACCCTCCTGTTTTGATGGATTCCTGCCTGGTCGTGGTCTGGCCCCTTCCACTTCCCAAGGAGGCCTCTTCTGCGGGTATCTTCTCTGTTCATTTCGTCTAGCTCCATACCCATCCAATACTCCTTTTTTACAGGATGCATCTGAAGAATCAGGGTGGGAGGTCCCCACAGGTTTAGCATTTTCAGGTCCAGTATCCTCAGGTTTGGGAGTTATTTTGTTACCCCATTCACATTTGAGTTTCCCCTTGACTTTTGGTCCTCTACCATAGCTATATACAAAGTGCGCTGCTTTTTTGGGTTTTGCTCCCCTGGGATCTGCGCTGATAACTTCCTTCTCATTCTCAGAAGGGCTGTGCTCTCTGGGATTTGTCCCACTCTCTGATATAGTCACACTTTCTAAACTAGCTGTATCTGAGGTCTGGTCACTGAGCCCTTGTGCTTTCTTGACTCTGGTATAGTGCTTTTCACTCCTCAACTTTTGCCAAGGTTGATTCTGAAGACCATGGTTCTTGAGTGATTTATTTAAAGAAGACTGGAAAAAAGTCTGTTGACTTTTAGGTTTGCTTCCAGAAGGATAATTGTGCTGATGAACAGCAGAGATGTCATCATAAGGGATCTGCCTGGAGAGGTGACAGGGAGGTGATGAACTATAATTTCTTCTGCCAATTCTATTCAAGTCCGGTCTTCGAGTCCCACAATTTAGACTAGAATTTTTTTTCTCCTGAGGAATGAACTCAGCAGCATCCGTATTGAATTTAAAAGTACCTAGGACATAAGAAATAGACATGCCAATAAAGAAATTCATGTGCCACCCATAAAGTCTATAAGACTAAGAACCATCTAAAAATTATTTTCCTAAGGACACTGTATAAAACAGGTTCTTACTGAGATCTGTGTTCTTTGTGAAGGTGATGGATTCAAGGTGCTTGTGGAAAACTGATAATCTCATGCCCAGCAGTCACAGTGATCGCCATTGACAGTTTAGAGCTGGCCTCATCTGGGCCATCCGGTACTAGGTTCATAAGCATTTACTTTATCAAAAAGTTAAAAAGGACCAGGCACCAGTGACTCATGCCTATAATCCTAGCTACTCAGAAGGCAGAGATCAGGAGCATCGTGGTTCAAAGCCAACTTGGGCAAATAGTTTGTAGGACCCTATCTCAAAAAAACTCATCACAAAATGGGCTGGTGGAATGGCTCAAGTGGTATTGAGGCCCTGAGTTCAAACCCCAGTACCACCAAAAAAAAAGTTAAAAAGGGACAAGCATGGTGGTGCATGCTGCAATCCTAGCACTCAGAAAGTTGAGGCAGAAGGATTTTGTGATCAAGGGCAGCCTCGTCTTGATCACATACATAGTAAAATCCTGTCTTTTAAAAAAAGGGGGGGGCGGTTGGAAGAGGGGATGAGGGAGAATGATGGAAGTGGTAATTTAACTAGTATATATTGTAAACACATTATGTAAATATTACAATGTATCCCTATCCAACTATTAAATAAATAAAAAATAAAAAGTAAGTAAGTAAATAAAAAGTAAAGTCAGCTAACAGTACAAGGATGAGATATCAGTTAGTAGGTTCCACATAGTCTTTCAAAACTCTAAAGTTGCATTGTGAAACATCAAGTAAACAGACTTTGAAGTCAGCTAAAATGGGTTTAAAGTCTAACTTTCCAACTTATGAGCTGAGAGAATATCACTTGACTATTTTTAACCTTCATATCTATAATAAAGGATGACAGTACTTATTTCAAAGGAGTGACATGTGATTTAAATAAAATTTCATACAGTAAATATTAGCATATTGAGTGTATCAATTTCCATCTCTTCCTCCTGGAAATATATTTGGGGTTTTCCACACATAACCCCTCTAGAATGCCCAAGTCTCAAAAATTAACCATACTTAAACCCACTCATTTTTGTCCCCGTGATTCTTAGTATAGTCAATTCAGTTCCTGAAGTCCAAAGAAGAAATGATTTGCCTAGAGACACAAAACTAGTTAGCAACAAAATCAGAACTAGTATATAGAATACTGTGAATCAATGGAGTCTGGAAGACATGAGTTTAAGTGCCTGCCCATCATTTATTATGCCTTTTTGTTTGTTGTTTTTTTGAGATAGGGTCTATGTTAACTAAGCTGGCCTCAAATTTACAATCCTCCTGCCTCAACAATCAAAGCAGTGGGATTAAAATTATGTGCCACTATAATCCTGCCTTACTGTGCTTTTATGCAAGTTACTTTATGCAAGCTTTCTTATATGTACTGGAGTTAGCAATAATCTCTACATCAAAGAGTTGCTATGAAGAGTAAAGCAAACTGACATGTGTAAAGTGGCAAAAACAACACTTTATTATTGCTGTTTAGACTTTAGATTAGGTGAAACACAGACTAAAGCTGAGATGGGGTACAGTGCAGAGCCAGTGAGTTTCAGATTTAATAACGTCTAGCATTTATTAAGTACTTAATATGTGGCACAAACTATTCTAACACTATTCATGTGTGTTAACTCATTTATTCTTTACATTCCCAATGAGAAGCAGCACAGAGAAAGTAACCTGTCCACATCATCATAAGTATTTCAAGACAGATTTACAATTCTAACTCAGAATGTGTAGCATTAGAGATCATGCTCTTACACAGCACTACACTGACAGAGGGAGGGTAGCAGTTACCATAGAAACATAGTAAAGAATTGAATGAGATCATAAAGGTCACAGGATAACCTCTCACTTAATCTAGAATTTGTCCTGAACACTTTCACACAGGCAGAGTTCTGGGGGTGGAGTGTAGGTTCTTAAAAAAGAACAAGAAGATTAGACAAATTCAGAAGGTGGTGGAGATAATTTCAAATAGTGGATAAACTGGACCAAGAGGTGTACAGTTCTCTCCTGCTTGAAGAGGCAAAGCTGGAGAGGGGGTGGAAATAAGGTTAGTAAAGTTGGCCGGAACAGCATGGTAAATTACAGGAAAAGGGTATGTCACATCGAGCAGTAATGAACTGATCTAGACAGGGCCATTCCAGTAGACATGAGGCAGTACAGCATGGCTTTAATGTAAGTAAGTACCAGCGATCCAAGATAACAAGGCAGGCGGACACAGGTGAATCAAGCAGAATAAAGGAAGACCAACTGGTAGTTTATAAAATCCAGAGACAAAGTTGGCATTGGAGAATCTGCCCATGAAAAAAAGATTCCTCCTGATTAGGCTGCTGTTTAAGAACCTTAAGGGGGGGGGGGGCGGAGGGGGGGAGGTGAGAGCTAGAGATATGCTAAAATAACACAGAATAGGAACTAGAGCAAAAACAAACATCAAAGGAAGTGAGGAGGTCTCAGACAAGGGGACTCAATGAATACACTATGGAGGGCAGGAAGAAAACTGGGGCACAATCCCACTGGTCAAAAACTTTTGACTCAGTACTAGCTCTTGCCCAATTCTACTTCAAACAGTAAAGGAGCCAGAGGTGATTGTGCCCTGTAATCCCACATGGAAATAGCTGGTATCATACTCGGAGAGGATCACAGTTCAAGGCTAGCCTAGGCAAAGAGTTAGTGAGATCTCATCTCAACAAAGAAGCCAAGCATGGTGGTACACTCTTGTAATCCTGGCTATGGGGGGGAGGGATAGGCAGGATGATCGCAATCCAAAGTCAGCAAAAACAAGACCCTATCTGTGGTAGATGGCCTGTCTAACAAGTGTGAGACCCTGAGTTCAAACGCCCTAGTACAGCTAAAGAAAAAAAATTAGAAGGTCTTGTCAAGGACTAGATGGAACAAGAACAAAATCAGGACTAGTGTATGCATTATGTTTTTCAGCTTTTAAAACAGAGATCCACAATAATAAATGCATCTTATCTGCCACCCAGTACACAAATACATGCAATCTTACTGGTAGCTGTTCAGTAGCAAAACTATGACTCAAACCAATGTTTCCATGCTGGAAACTGCTGTGATTTTTTTTTTTTTTAAAGTGTAGGTCATGAAATCAAATCAATGTAGTGGGTTGTGAGAAGTATTTCTTTTTGTGTCAAGTATCTTTTAAAGTCAAACAAAATAATATATTGCTGACACTGAAAGAAATCAATGCTCCTGAAACATGTGGTTCACGTCTGTATTTATGTAAGTGTGCACTAAAATCGTGGTGCAAAATGTTTCTTTGTGGTCACTGTCCATAAAGTGTGGAAAACACGGATCTATCGCACACGCTGAAGGAAATGGACGTTATATCAACAGTCAAATAAGGCCGTCTCTATACACTGAGGCAACTCCAGAAGGGAGAGAGAATTAACTAAAGATCACGGATCAGGTACAGGACAGAGCAGGAGTCTTTATAGGAATTCCTATTACTCCCAACTGACAGAAGAGGAAACTGAGACTCTAAACCTCTAGGGCTCGGCTCGCGCGCGCCGCCACTCTAGGAGATTAGGAACACACCCCGAGCGCAGCGCGCAAACTCGATGGAATCCAGAGCCCGCTACCGTCACGGGGACTTAGCCGACGCCCGTCTGGCAGGGTCGGTGCAATGCTGTCCCAGAAAGGCCAGAGTGAGCCAAGTGAAAGGACGGGACACCCACATGAACTCACGGGGCGCCGGGACAAGCCCGCAATCCTCGGAAACCCAGCTGCCAGGCTTCACCACCCAGTTGAAGATGGTGGAGGTCTCCGTACACGCAACGCGCGTGGCTTGGCCCTTCGGAGCCACTATCCCCAACTCTAGCACGCCCTACTCTCGCGATACACATAGCCGAAGGCCACAAGACTTCATTCCCTGACACCAGATTTTCCGCTCCCTGAGAGGGGCCCAGTACCGCGCGGGCCAGGACAGTACCTGAGACAGGAGGCGCCTCCGCCATCCCGTGCCGCAGCACCTAAAACGAGACCTGCAGCTAGGCAAGCGCTGTCACCCAGTCACGTGCCCCGGACTTCCGGCACCGACAAAGTGCATCTATGCGTGTGGGGTACACAGCCACGGAGGTTGCGCGGCCGGAATCTACTTGCGTCGCTTCCGTGACGTCATGTGTACGCGCCACGCGCCGAGCGGAAGGAAGAGACAAGTAGAGGGAAGTGGCGAGAATCTCACGAGAGAGGGTAGGGGCTTGCGTAATTGTGACTTTTTGAGACGTGTTGTGTTCTGCAGCAGCTGTGCCGTTTTGCTCCGCGAGTCAACCAACTTCATGTACTCTTCAGGAGTCAGCTCGAACATCACCTTCTTAATAGTTTAGGATTAGGGTTTTAAAAAAAAACACCTTGGGCTGGTGGAGTAGCAACTGCACCTTTGTACCAAGCGCTAGGCCCTGAGTTCAAACTCCAGTACCGCCCAAACAAAACAGAACAAGTAGAGCAGTATAAGTGGGGGGGAAATCTGCAAAACAATAGGCTGCCTAATGTAGTTGTACACGTATGTAACCTCAGTGTTTGTAATTCTAGTTACTCAGGTGGCTTTGAGGCCAGCCTGGGCTACCCAGCAAGACTCTCAAAAGCACTCAAAAGAGCAAAACAAACACAACAAAATACAGCACTAGTACACAGCTCTTATAAATCAGTCAGAAAACAGTTAAGTCATATATCAAAAGTAATAAAGAACTTGGCCAGGCAAATTGGCAAACAGGGAGAAAATTTGGAGTTACTAATAGTTTTTAAAGAAAAAAAAAGTTTAACATGCATGTAAATGGAAACATGAGACCTGTTGAAACTCTTCCAGGAAGGGGAGGGGGGGAGATAAAGGAGAATGAAGAAAGGGGTGAATTCAAGTATGATATATTTGATATATTGTAAGAACGTTTGTAAGAGGCACAATGTACCCCCAGCACAATAAAAAAAAAAAGTTTAAGTGAATGCACGGAGTTGTTTTGTGTCATTTCACAAATCAGGTTTGATAAAGGACTTCTAAAGTCAACAGGAAATAAATGGGCAGGATGGGTGTAGTGGTGAATACCTATAATCCCAGCTACTTGGGAGGCAGAAGCAGGAGTACTGAGAGTTTGAGACTAGTGGAGACAAAGGTAGCAGTAAGACTGTCTCAAAAACAAAATAATAATAAAATTCAGTGTAGTTGATAAGGAAAATTTAAAAATACATATTTTAAAAAAGTGCTGGGGCCAGGTGCTTGTGGCTCATGCCTGTAAGACACTTGGGAGGCTGGCATCAGGAGGATCATGGTTTAAGGAGAGCCTGGGCACATAGTTTATGGAACCCATCTCCAAAATAACCACAGCAAAATGGACTGGAGGTGTGGCCCAAGGGGTAGAGAGCCTGCTTTGCAAGTGCAAAGCTCTGAGTTCAAACTCCAGTTTTGCAAAAAAAAAATAAGAACAAGGAGGGGGGGCTGAGCGGTGTAGCTCAAGTGGTACAGTGTTTGTCTAGCATGAGCAAGGCCATGGGTTCAATCCCCAATACCACAAAAAAAAGCAATAATTATGAGAAGATTTCTATGTAGCCCAGAAATGCATTTTTAAAATTTTTATCCAAAATGTGTTTATTGGGATAGTTTTCCACTCTTCTTTTTTTTTTTTTTCAATTAGCAATAATCGCACTTGGATAAACCTCATTGGCTATGATACTGCCACTGCTCCACTCTTCTTGATTCAGGGTGCTTTTAATGCTGCTTCCTTCTGAAGGAACATCCTTCTGAAAGCCTAGCTCAGAAATACAGGTCGCTCTACTGCTTGAGTTAAACCTCCAGTCCATTTTGCTCTGGTTATTTTGGAATTGCCATCTCACAAACTATTTGCCTGGGCTGACCTCAAACCATTAACCTCCCAACCACAGCCACCCATGTAGCTAGGATTACAGGCATGAGCCATCTCCCGGCTCACACTGTGTTATTTGTTCTTTGTACATTTGCCCTAGCTGTTCCTTTGGCTTGGAATCTTCACCCTAATTCCTTTCTCCACCTCTTAAATCTTAATTAGCCTCCTTTTGCCTAATTAACCAACTTTATAGATAAGACTGAGTTTAGTTTCCTCCAGAAAACTTTCCTTTCCCAACGGGTATTGGGGTTTGAATTTAAGGCCTCCTGTTTGTTTGGCAGAGGCTCTATAACACTTGAACCATGCCCCTCAGCGCTTTTTGCTTTAGGGATTTTTCTAATAAGGTCTCTCATTTTATGCCCTGGCCAGCCTGGATCTTGATCTTTTTATTTATGCTTCCCAAGTAGCTGGGATGGCACACCACCATGCTGGACTTTTATTGATTGAGATAGGGTCTTTAGAAGTTTTTGCCCAGGCTGGCCTTGGACTGCTATCCTCCTGATCGCTGAATTCACAGGTGTGAACTACAGTGTCCCGCCCCACAATTTTTTTTTTGTTATACTGGAGTTTGAACCCACACTGCCTCACACTTGCTGGGCAAGTGTGACCTAGCTAGGTCATTTGAGACACTCCACCAGCCCTTTTTTGTGTTGGGTGTTTTCAAGATAGGGTCTCGTGAACTATTTGCCTAGGCTGTTTTTGAACCTCAATCCTACAGATCTCTGCCTTTTTACTAGGAATGAGCTATCAGTGTGCAGCTTAAATTTTTTTAAAATAAGGTTTTCCTTTAGTTTTGGCTTTGTTGTTTTCAGAAATTAAAAAACAAACATAGCCAAGATGCCCCTGACTCCTTTGGTCTTAGGGATAGTTTCTTCTTTTTTAAAAAAAATTTTTTTATTTGTATCTATTAAGTTTTCAAAGGGGTTTCATTGTGATTTTTCACACATGCATATAATGTACTTTGATCATACTCACACTCTCTAGCAGTTCCTTTTAATATCTAATCTCAAAGACTATAAAAAGTCCATTCTACTAGGTGCCAACATTTCTGAAAACCCTTTAGGAATTCTTTTTATTTCAAACATTGACCCAGAAGAACTGAGTCATGTTGGTGCTACATGCCAGTATCACTTCAGTTGGTTGCTTGCCTGGGCAACAGTCTCTTTCTCTTTCTCTCTCTCACACACACTCACCCACCCACACATCCACCCCCCCACCCCCCCACGCTGATATCCACACACAGAGACACATGCACACGCACAAACACATGTGCACACACAGACACACACACACACACACCAGAAAGAAAAAAAGAAACTGACCCAGAGCTTAAGCTTGTTTCCAAAGCTAACTGTCTTAAGACCATTGCTGCTGCCGCGTGCCGGTGGCATATGCCTGTAATCCTAGCTCTCAGGAGGCAGAGATCAGGAGGATTGCAGTTTGAAGCCAGCCCAGGCAAAATAGTTTGCAAGACATACCTCAAAAACATCCATCACAAAAAAATGGGCTGATGGAGTGCTCATAGTGGCCCTTAGTTCAAACCCTAGTACTGCAAAAAAAAAAAAAAAAAAAGATTTGCTGCTGTGGAATTTGTGGGAGAACTACTGCAGACTCTCACCTGGCTTCTTTGGAATGCAGAATGCCTCACTCTACTTGTTCTCAAACAGTTACAAGAACCTTCCTTAAATCCCCAAGGCAAAGGAAGACCAAGTTGTAATGTTTAACAAAATTTGAGGATTACAAAGGCAATGCAGACAGCAATTACCACTGACGCTAAAATTAACCATCCTAGGATCCCAAAAGACCTCATTTCTTTCTAGGCCTAGAAATTCCATGTGTAGCAGAGCATTGGCTTAATTCCTACCAGTGGAAACTTCCAGAATCTTCTCACAAACTCTCTACTATGAACTCAGAGACTAAAAGAAATCCTTCCCTGCCAGACATGTTGGTGCACACCTATAATCCCAGTACTCAGAATGTTGAGGCAAGAGGATTAAGAGTTCTTGGCTACATTATAAGACTGTCTCAAAACAACAGAAACAAAACAAAAAGAAATTCTTCCCTACTTCCCTGTTCATCCAAGGCTTTGCTGAAATGACAAATGAATTCTCCCTTCAGGGAGAATTTGTACTTCCACCCACAGTGTGGGTGGCCTAAACAAAGCAATCACAATAATTGACAGGATATTTCCCAGAATGCAACTAACTTAATCTTAACCTAATACCACAAGTGGGAGACTAAAAGTTCAGGAAGTGTTGTACTAAGCTCTTTCCAATTTTGACACAATCTCCATTAGAAGAAAATCTCTTCTCAGATCAGACCTGTGTATGTCTCTTGCTGTCATTCAGTCTTTGAACTTCTATGAGAAAATGCTCATGGTACAACACACACACAACTCTTGAGAAATAAGTAACTTTCAGATATAAGACAGTTTAAAAGACAAATTTAAGGAAAAAATTCTATAGAATGTAGTTTTGTCCGACTGTACCATAATATTTGCATTACTAAATAGAACACATTTAGATGTGAAGTATCTGCATTTGTAATTTAGTGGTTAAGACTTCTCCAAGAATATGAAATAGATCTAGTCATAATTTTTTTTTTTTTTTAGTGGTACTGGGGTTTGAACTCAGGGCCTACACCTTCAGCCACTCCACCAGTCCTTCTTTGTGAAGTATTTTTTTCGAGATAGGGTCCAAGAACTATTTACCTGGGCTGGCTTTGAGCCTCAGTCCTCCTGGACTCTGCCTCCTGAGTAGCTGGGATTTCAGGCGAGAGCCGCTGGTGCTGGGCTCATTCACATAATGTTTTAGTGTCTGCTCTGTCTAGGACACTATCTTGAGTGCTGGAGCACTATCATGAAAATTTAGGCTGGGAGACTTAGTCACTTTCTTCATGAAATTGTACTGTTCAATAGGGGAGACAAAACCAAGGTGTAAAAACAAGACAATTACAAATTATATTAGTGTTATGAAAGAAATAAACAGAGCAGGGCCAGGCACTGGTGGCTCACCCCTGTAATCCTAGCTACTCAGGCAGAGATCAGGAGGCTTGAGGTTCAAAAGCAGCCCAAGTAGTTCAAGAGACCCTATCTTGAAAAAACCCTTCACAAAAAAGGGATGGTGGCTCGAAGTGTAAGCCCTGAGTTCAAGCTCCAGTACTGCCAAAAAAAAAGAAAGAAAGAGAGTAATGGCAACAAATGCCATTCTGGATTTGCTCCAGAAAAGG